ATTTTTTATTTTATTAATATTTCCTATTCCATAGATGAAGGGGAATTATAAATTGATCAGAATAATGGAAACACCTAAGTGAAAAAGAAGTAAACAAAACATGGAAATTTTGAAAAAGAAAAATATATTTATTTCATTCAATCCCATATGTATTATGTACATACATAATTAAAGAGAGCTTGGCATCAGAGTTTCAGGCTATTACAATCGAGACAAATCTTATAGAAGCTGCGAAGATTTATTTAGCGATGGAGAAAACTACGGACAAGTTTCGATGGGCAGAGGTGGAGGACGACGACGATTATCCTCTTCCGGCGGACCAGGTGATCGGTCCTGACGAGAACGGCATTAAGCAGCTGATCCATCACTGGCGCAACGACGAGGGCCAAACTGTCAAAACAACCACCACTACACGTGTCCGCACGGTGAGGGTGAGTACTCCTAGAGAAAAACGGGCCGTGGAGCGACGTGCATGGGCCAAGTTTGGCGACGCCGTCGTCCATGATGATAGCGGTTTCACTACGGTTTCAAGGGAGGACATCTTTTTGGAACGACCTAAGGCTCTTCCCGGTAAATAAATCCCTCTATCTTGATTATGAGCAATTGTATTTGGTTTTACTTTTCATACAAGCAACCTCTCTGTTTCGAATATTTAGGGTTTTCTTTTGATATTTTCAGGTAACAAACCTGAAGAAACAAAGGCAAATCCAGAATCGGGTGCGTTCCTGATGGTCTGCAGGACTTGCGGCAAGAGAGGTGAGCACTGGACAGCGAGATGCCCGATGAAGAATCATTCCTCGTCGACGACAGATGAAGCGGAAGCATCTTCTTCGCGGAACGGCACTGACAAGGCTGGTTCTTATGTCCCACCAAACATGAGGCCAGGAAGCAATGCTCTTTCAGACACGAGGAGGAGGAACGACGACTACGCTCTACGTGTGACTAACTTGTCTGACGACGCTCGTGAACCGGATCTGAAGGATTTGTTCGGTGCGTTTGGCGAAGTGACTCGAGCCTACGTTGCCTTGGACAAGAACACCGGACTGAGCAGAGGCTTTGGTTTTGTCAACTTCGTTAACAGAGAAGACGCGCAACGCGCAATCAACAAACTGAATCGTTACGGTTATGACAATCTCATCCTTAGTGTCGAATGGGCTGCTCCTAGACCCAACTAAGATCATGTTGTCAATTCAATTTTGCATTACAATTTTTTTTTTTTTTGGTTCTATGTTTGAAACCATCTCTTCTGTCATACTATATCATTGATCTTAGCCTATCGGTTTGACTTTGGTTTTCCCAATCCTTACATCGGTTTACCCTGGTGTAAACCGTTTTCTTTTAAACTGTTGACATTGTTTTTAACCATAAATCGTTTATAGCCAACACAAATTCACTGTAACCCTGAGAAATGCCTTTTTCCACTTTAAAGTTTTGCTATACAGTATTTTTCTCTGACACAGAAACATTCACGATGACGACAGAAAAATAAAATTTATGAATTGACTAAACAAAATAAGATCTCTGAGCTGACAAAAAAAAAGCTCTGAAAAGAATTCATTGAATTACCCTCCTCCTACATCTCTCTCCACCTCAAACTAAAACAACGCAAGTCCTCGTTGTCGTTATTCAAGGAAGGCCCAAAAAGTCAGACTTGAAGGCCCAAATCTAATGCATGTCGACCACGTGGATACACAGTACGGTAATTCGTATCCAGCGAAGCTGTTGCATTCGAGTTGAAAACATTTCCTAAAAGGGATCGATTACAAAATTTCACGCAGCCACGTGATGTCATCAGAGGCTCCTATCCAACGGTTTCGATCTTACCACGTGTATCACTCAAGACCTGTCCACAATCGAATACTCCTTTAATGTTACTTTAACACTAATCAACGAATAAATTCGCATACAATCACTATCTGCCTTATGAATTAGACAATTAGTCGACAAACTGACACGCACAAATACTCTGTTGACCAAAATGAATTCATACTAATTTTGGATAACTAGTAGTGCTCAAATTAGTGGCAGAAACATAATGAACGTTAGTATGTAAAAGGAAACAAATCATATTAAATGACAGCTTTGAAAACAATAATATTGCTTTCTAATGTTGTAAATTCCAAATATGAAAATGACAATAAATCGAGTATTTCTATAATTAGCACTCGAAATTAAAGTACCGAAACATACAAGTTGCACCAAATCCCACTCTCTCACTCTAGAAAGAAAAAAATCAAAAAAAAATATCAGCAATGTTCATAATAATATCCAACACTTTGTTTCTCTCTCTAAAAAGGTAAAAATAGTGACTGGTTTTTAATCATCCGGTGGTGAGAGATCAGAGATATGCTGTCTCCGACGTTATTTCCTCTCTTCTGTGCTTTATTCCTCTGTCTTCCCGTTGCCGTCATCTTCACAGTCCAGCGAGAACTCACCGGCGTTGTCTCGCCGGAATTTGGTTTCCGCTCTCTCTCCGTCTTCTCTCTCTACTCCCGAAATGTCCCCGACGCTTCTTCTCCGGCGGTTCCGATTCGCCCGATTATTCCCAAAGACGACGCCCTGCTTCTCCGACTCGCTTCCCTGGTTAACCCGAATCAGCCTCCCGGATCGACCCGGAAATTGGCTTTTATGTATCTAACGACGACGCCTCTTCCGTTTGCTCCTCTCTGGGAAAAATTCTTCAATGGAAGCTCCAAGGAACTCTACAATGTCTACGTCCACGCGGATCCGACCCGAGATTACGACCCGCCGTTCGCCGGCGTGTTCGCCAACCGGGTCATCCACTCGGAGCCCTCCCAAAGGTACACACCCACTCTCGCCGCCGCGGCTCGTCGGATAATCGCGCACGCGCTGCTCGACGATCCGCAAAATTACATGTTTGCCCTTCTGTCACCTTCGTGCGTACCCATCCGCTCCTTCGACTTCACCTACAAGACGCTGGTCACGTCGCCGTCTTCCCGGAAAAGCTTCATCGAGATACTCAAAGACGAGCCGTGGCAGTACGACAGATGGGCCGCGCGTGGTTTCGACGCGATGCTGCCGGAGGTGAGGCTGGAGGATTTTCGAATCGGGTCGCAGTTCTGGGTGTTGAAACGGAGGCACGCTCGTGTGGTGGCGCGTGATCGGCGGATATGGGAGAAGTTCAACCAGACGTGCGTGCGGGAAGACACGTGTTATCCCGAGGAGAATTACTTTCCTACCCTTCTTAATATGAGGGACCCACGTGGATGTGTCCCAGCCACGCTTACTCATGTGGACTGGACCATCAACGATGGAGGCCACCCGAGGATGTACGAGCCAGAGGAAGTCGCGCCTGAGCTGATCGTGCGGATCAGGAAGACTCGGCCGAGATACGGGGAGGATGGAATCAACGGTTCTGATTGGTCTGCGAATGAGCGGACGGATCCGTTTCTGTTCGCGAGGAAGTTTTCTCCGGAGGCTCTCGAGCCGTTGATGGGTATGGCTAGAAGCGTCTTGTTCAATGACTCGGCCGGTGATGATGATGTGTGAAATGGCTCTATGATGGCATTGTTGTAAATTTAGTTTTAGTTTTTTTTTGGTTTTACTTGAAAAAAATAATTGTAATTTAATAGGTACCTGGGAAAAACAAAAAAACCCAGTCTATCATTATCCTTCAAGGTTTGAGTCAGACGTCCCAACTCGAATCTCATCCTCATAAATTAGCAAATGGAGTTAAACATTTCCAGATCGTCTCACACTAACTTAGAGCTTTTTTTTTTTTTTGGTCAAACTGATGCTATTGATACATTTTCTTCTCGCAGTGTGTTCTGACTTAGAGCTAACTTAGAGCTTAAGAATCAAAATGATGCTATTGATACATTTTCTTCTCGCAGTGTGTTCTGACTTTTTAGACTTTGGTTTCTAACCAAGTATAATATACAGAAACTAGGAAGCTGAAGCGGATAATGTATATTGTTAATTTGTTATAAGTATTGATAAATTGATGCTAAACCTTGTTATCTAGAGATCCCAAATGGGTCCAAGATTGCGGAAGATGGGGCTCAGATTCGTCAACACTTGAGTTTGGCTGTCGCTTAAAGAACACACAACCACAATCATCTTCTTGACCCGTGCTTTCTTCCTTTTACTTTTCCCCCAAAAAATTGTAAAACCTACTGGAAATTTATAAAAGTTAACACCTACAAGCCATGAATCGCGTGACAGCCAATTAAAGAATCAATTATTTGTGAGAACTGTACTATAGACTTGTGAGTGGTGACCCTTCTGTGTTCCAAAGTATGCGATTTGGGATTATGATTATGCTGAGAAATCGTTTAATCTGACAGATTCAGTTAACTTTATCCACCCAACAATCACTCGCTAATGTAACAGAAGAAAATGAGCACATACATATGCGCGTGTCTGAGTTCCTCAAATGAATGTTTGTGTTCTTCTTTAGATTCCTCTGTTTTATTGGAGCAAATGGTAGTTAGGTAATATATGTTTCAGAACACAAGTATGGATGTGATCACACCCGATTATACATTTTCGAAATGTTGATGTCACATTATATTTATTTTCCTTGGCTTAACCATCGAGAAAGAGTGATTTATTTAGCAAGAAAACTGAAAATACATGAGAACATGATGTCTATCCATAATAGCCTATTTGATTACAAGAGAACATCAGACAGCGACAAATAATCACCTGATACTTAAACAAGATAGATTATCATTTATCAAACAAAACAACAAAAACAGTCGCTAGCTTCACCCACTTTAAACCAAACGAGCAAACCTAACCAAGCCAAGTTGTAGAAAAGAATAGCAAAGAAACAACAAACAGAATCTAATATTTTAACAGACAAGAAAAAGGGTTTAAATGACTTTATTAATCAAACTCAAAAGAGGCAAAGTCTCACAATATTCAAGAATACAAGAAGAACCCAGATAATAACACAAGAAATATGAGAGATATCATCTATATTGGTCGAAAAATATATATATATGTAAAGGAAAAAAAACAAAATGAATATAAAATCAGTAAGGGTTATTGTAATAATACCCCATCGGCGGAGGTCCCATCCCGTTAACCGGCGGCATCCCATAAGGCATTCCGGTTGGGGCTGTATTCATCTTAGCCAAACTAGCTTGACCTCTCATTCCTTCTTGCTGATATTGCTGCCACAACTGCTGCTCCTGAGTCAACAGATATTGCTTCTTGTCCATCTCAGCCATTTGCACATAAGAAGGAGGCGGTATGGTTAGCGACGCCGCAAATGGGTCTTGGTTCACTCTCTGAACGGTTCCATCTGGTGCAGGGAGTGCTAATACACCGTTGTTGGCTTTACCAGGCAAAGGAAGCGCCACGCTGCTCGAGCTTCCACCGGTTAGCTCCGAGGTGCTCACGTGTTGTCTCACCGCTCCTTGATCGTACATCCCGTTGAGTAGCAACGGGTCTAAACCACCGCCCATTGCGGATTTCTGGTTCTCTAGGTTACTAGCTGTCTCGACCAACGCAAGTTCCCAATCCGCCTTCCCTGGCTCTGCTGCTGGATTCTGCCACGCAGATGTCACCTCGTTATCAGAAGAGAAAGCTTCCCATTTTCCGTTACCACTAGCAGGAGCAGCGAAAAGCGCGAGAGCAAACTTGTTCCCTTGGTCATCGGCAGTGACGTTATCTTCCCTCAGGTTAACTAGATCATCTGTTACTTGCGGCTGCTGAGGTTTCGGCTCTGGTACGGGTGGAGGTGGAGGAGTGTAATTCTCTGGAGGAGGAAGGGCTTTGATCTCATTCATATCAACCGCTGGCTCTTCCACAGGAGGAGCAGGAGGAGGAGGAGCTTCAATCTCTTTCCGTTCAGGACTTTTAGCCCTTTTAGCTCTGTCTCTCACAAACTCCTCTAGCGTCTCCAACAGTTTGCTAGTGATCCTCTGAACCTCAGGGTACTCTGAAGATCTCGCCACGCCAGTGTCCTTGCACCAATGGTAAAAAGCAATGAGCTCATCGATCTGTTTGGCCGCACTAGCGTAAGCATCAAAGGCTTTAACACAATCAGTATACTCCATCTCGAAAAACTTGTCAAGCAAAACAGCCAAGACCTCGCAGATATCGGCGTAAAGCCTGAAACTTTCTTTCACTATTGGGTACATTGCGACCAAAATCATCCGGCTGCTCTTTGCTAAACCGGTAGGTCGAGAGGATAGAAACCGATCAAGCAGCCTCTGCAAGTGACCCATCTTTCCGAAAATCCTCTCAGGTGTCATTTCTCTTAGAGGAGTAATCGCTTTCTTCTCCTCTCTTCCTCCTCCGATCTCACTCATATCTCCAAAAGACCGAGACCTCTTAGGCATACCATAACCATTACCATTACCATTCTCGTAATCGTAAGTTCTCGGAGGCGGCGGAGATCGGAAATCGTCCCTAGACCGACCACCGTAACCATCGTCTCCGTTGCTTTGATGACTACTACCACCGCCGTTTCTCCCTTTCCTCTCGTAGAGAGCCAATTCGAGCCTCTGATCCAAGTAACTAGCATACGTTCTAACGAAAGCAGAGTGATCCCAGGAGCTAGAATGAGCCTCGTCGCGGAAATCAGACATGTTGAGAATCCGCGTACCTCGTCTAGTGGCGTAGAGGATCTCTTCCTGGAAGAGCGGGTCCCCTTCGTTGAGGAGACGGTGGACGAGCATCAGGGCCTTGAGGGCGACGATCCAATCGCGCGTTTTCCCGAGGCGGCGTGAGACGGAGGTGACGCAGGCGTGGACGTAGCCGCGGGAGAGTGATGTTAGGCTCAGGATCTCCCGGATGTACTTCTCGGTTGACTGATCGTCGTCGTGGCTCGTGGCTTTGACGATCGCGACTTCCAGATCTGGAGCCATGTTGCTCGCTACCTTCGCTATGCTGATGCTCGTCTGGTCCTTGACCACCCCGATCGCTTTACGAATACTCAGCGCCATGATTCACTCACTAGTGAGGAGGATTCGAATTTCTGGGGAGCTACAAAACTCTACAAAAACCCCCAAACAGCAAAAACAGAGCAAATTGGTTGAGAAATTGATGGAGATTCGGGTTTAATTGACGACGAATCAAACGGGGATAATCATTTCCGAATTGAAATGGAATTTTCAGTTTCAGTTTTGGTGGAAGTATTCTTAGAAAAGTACCGATGATGGAGTTTCTTCGCTAGATCTACGGGTGTGAGGTAGAAGATAAAAACGCCGTATTCTCCGGCGTCGGATGTGTTGAGTTGTGTTTTATTCCGGCGGAGGAGACGGAGAAGGGATCTGAGATCTATGAAGAAGGTAAAGATCTCTCAAAGACGACTATTGGCGGTGACAGATTCACCGAACGAGTCAAAATGAAGTGGATTTGAAGAGAGAGGATTTTAGAGGAGAGTTACAAGTCCACGGTGACGTGGAGTGACGAGAGCCGTCGATTTAAAGGAGATGCGAAGGTTTGTAACCGGAATTGACGGAGCTGTGTGTGTCCGAATCTCTCAAGTCCGAACACTGTAGTAAATGTCTGCTTTTTTTTTAATACAAGGATGCGGTAAATAATCTCAACTTTGGATAGAATTATTTATATATTATTTTTACAGTTTTTCTTTTATATATATATATATATTTTTTTTTTTTTATATATAGTCAATGGATTTTAGTTTAAATATTTATTAATTCGGACCAGGTAATACTAATAGCTAGCATTTTTGCGCGAATAAAGTAAAATTCTGGTATCATTACATGGTTAATATTTCATCCTAAAATTACATTTTTAATGGTAAGATTAAAAAATACTTACAATCTTAAATTTTGTTAGCAAGGAAACTGATACAAAAGTTTTAATTGTTTTTTTGTTGCTGTTATTAAGTATTGAAGATAAGTATGCAATTCAATAACATTTTAATTAGTCTATAAAATTGTTGACAAGAATGTACGATAAAAAAACGAATAGTAATTTTAGGATAATCAGTTCGGACTTAAACTCGAGATCTGGTTACATAAATTTAGGATAATCAATTACGGCTTGAACTAGGGACCTCTTTTTTGGATCGTGGAAGAAAATCCTGTTACCATTTTCGTGCATGTTTAGCTATGCTTCTTGATAATAATAGTCATTTTAGATAAGAAATCGAGTAGAATTTTTATCTGATAGACATTTTAATTACAAAATAATCGTTCTCTTTGAACTTGTATCTTCAAAACAAAAGTCTTGTATAGGCACACGGACAATCTCTAATTATTGATATTCGATGAACAGATTCAGCAAAAATCCTGCAAAACCAAATCAAGAATTTAAATATTAAATATCTTAGTCACCCCATCTCCGAATATAGAGATCCGCAATCCGAAGCATTAAACATTTGTTTTGGTGAATATCTAAAGCATTAAACATAGAGAAGCAAAGACATACTTCCATGGAACATCCCCAGGTAATAGCCAGTCCCCATCTTTCCCTTGGAAGGTGAATGTGTAGTCTGTATCTTCTCTATCACAAGCTTCGTCTGATAAACCAAAATTATATTCAATAAAGAGGCTTATGTTATGTTTTCAATTGTTTGTAGGTTAAGGAGTACTGCAATACGTTTATAAACATAATTAATTAGCACTCACATTGGGTAAACATGGTGATCAAGGAGTTAGTGAGGGACTCATAAGAGTTGAAAAGCTTAATATCCACTTTTCTTGCTATTGCCACACCATCCATCTTCACCTTCACATACATTGATGATCTCGATGATGTCGATGATGATGACGACGATGGTGATGATGATCCAACTCTTTCAATTGTAGCCGTTGGATTAGATGTGTTGATCCTCCTACCATGATGGTGATATGGGTGATTACGACTATGATGACGATAATTATGATACTTTGTCATACATGACTTTATTGGTGGCCATCCCACGACTTCGCTATTTCCCTCCTCTCTATATCAAAATTAATTTAATGTTAGGAGTTCACACGCGTTCCCATTTAGTATAACTAGCCATCATAAGATCCCATATAAAGTTCCAATATTTTGAAAATATACTAACTTTTAACCCAAAAGAAATAACTTAGAAGTGGACTAGTGGATGTTGATGCTACATAAGTAACTAATTTACCCTAACTATGTTCAAAGACAAAGTTAGACTCACTCGTAAACAATAGAAGAGTCGGATTCCAAAGGATCTTCATCTTCCTCGTTTGGCTGGCCATTCAAAGAAAACAAACGCGGTTTTGACAAATAGCATTCTTCTTCCACATTAAATGTCGCCTCAAAACGCAGTTTCTTGGTATCCAAACAAGACGCAGCTCCCCCGATCATAGTCGTGCAATGCTTGTTGAGGTCAAAGTCAAGCCCTGGTTTTGAAGGATTGCTATGAGGAGAAAGAGAGAGATCAAGATCCAACTCCATTACTTACACGACACACCCCCAAAAAATAAAAGTTCGTCTTCGATGAAAAGAAAAGCTGATTTCTTTTGTTTATTGGCTTTGGAAAAGGTTGCTCAATTAGTGGATCATGAGTTCTCCCTATTTATAGTAATAGGAAAGGGTAGAAAAGTCAAGGAGGAATACAAGGCTTTATCATAAATGTACATGTATTATAATATGTACACATATAGATGTCGATAGATCATAGATGTGTCGCATGGTATCTTAACCAACACGGTACTATATAATCTAAATGAGTAATCAATCAAAATATCAGAATAGTAGTAATTTTTGTCGTGTTGAAACCTGAAGTTTTAGTTCACATATCTTTCTAAAGCCACATCGTATTTAAATTCAAAGCCAACAGGATTAAAATAACGTTAAGAAACGAACTATGATGTGTGATGAAGTATGAAGTATGATGTGTGACATAACATTTAGAAACGAACACAAAATCGATACCAAAAATAGAGAATGCTAAACATTTTTGATTTGTTATGTTTCTAAATTCTAATAGTATATGATTTGTGGCTTTCAAGTCAAGCAAGAGGTGAAGTTCCTAGTTCTTAGAAGGGATTAAAGAGAAACAAGGACCTTTGTCTTTTGGAAGAGAACTAATTAAAGTAATGACTTCCGACATTGATTAAGTTCGGGTCGGCCAATATCCCAACATTGAATGCGAACACATTTAAACATTATGTTATCCTAATTGCTATGCTTTTCAAATATAAGACTATCTTACAATATTATTATTTTTCTTCATTTTTTTTTTCTTTCTCTAGATCAGTCAAAATTGTGTCTTTTTTTGTTATATTTCCAATAGATAATTACTACGTGCTACAAAGATTGTGGAGTATAAAAAGATGGCTGGATGTTTTCTTTAGGATGGGAGAAAAACTACAAAATTAATATATCGAACGAGTGATGACCAATTTTTGGCTAACCTGCTACATATACAGGCGTCTTCACTTGTGTCGCACTATGCCTAATCAACGTACCTACAGTATTATTAAAAAAAAAAAAAGCAATACTAAACAAAACGATAAAGTGCAATTAGGAGTCAGGACTAAGAAACAGGAAGATGTATGGTCAAAAGGAGCACATGGTTCAACGAATTTAGACATCAAACGAACATGAATATTTATAGACAAGTCTGGTTAATGTTGGAGCGGACAACGTCCCATATATTTATTTACATTCTACGTTTCTACGAGAAAATTGGATTCACACTGAAATTAATTCTTTTGCAATGTAACGTGATACTTAAATTGACAACCGTGAGTAATAATAGCAAACTAGATATGATTTTTTTCAGCTTCTCACAGTTTTGTCAACCTACTACGAGACAACCATCACTCGACACTTATAGCTTGATTCACTATACGGATTTTGACTTCAAAAGCAATTATTTATTTAGGGAAGACTTAGATAAACTTATGAATAAGGGCTATTAAGTGTTTGCCTATCCTGAGCTTCAGTACATTTCTCTATTGGGAAGCAACATTTTATTTTTCATTTAACATTTATTTTAACAAGTGTTTTGCTTTAGTGACAAAAAAAGTTTGTGGAGCTTATAGCTTAATACTGTAGTTTTTTTATATGAAATACCACGACAGACTTGAACTCACAACCTAGTAACCTCCCTAGATATGGTTTGTTGGATACCTACGATTTTACTAACAAGTGTTTTAAAACTGACTTGGACTATTTAATAGGCCGGACAGGGTTGTTACTTTACAAAAAGGCAACAAAAATACCTTAAGACTTGAAAACTACATTAAATAAAGGACAGAAGAACATTATTTACAATTTTAAAATAACTTATACTCATAATCATATGTCAGTTGTGATCAGCTTGACACTGACATATGTTTGTTTTCATTTAAGCACAAAAGGCTGTTGGTATAGGGAAATATGCTGTGTGTCTAATTAACACAATATTAAGACTTAACCTCTATCTATGAAATAATTTCGCAAGATATGAATTTGGATCACGAAAGTGACACTTGAATATGAAGTCTATATCGTATATTAATATTAAATTTGGTTGGCCGCAACATGTTTTTTAGATCAACCAAGCAGAGGAAATATCAACGTGAATGTCACGTGAAGAGAGTCGTGCGTGCGTGACTACTCGTGCCGTAGTGTCGGGTCGACCACTGAACTGAAGTAATGGGCTTTAAAAGTTGAAGGACCATATGACGCTTGTGGGAACCACACTTTTTACACTTATAGTCTTGCTCGTGGGATCGATCTTGTTTGAATTCTACAAAGGTACTCAACATGTACTCAATTTGAAGTTGTAACACCATCAAAGTGGCTAATTTTTCTCTTACTGACTAAAATTCAAATCGAACTGGTGGATCTGACCTGTTTTTTTTAATGGAAACCTAACGTTATCTGATATGAAAACCTTTGGTCTTTGCCCTTATTTTAGGAACGGATACGAGTTATGCAGCAAAAGGTACAAAACGGATAAAAATGAAAGACATGTTCCCAAATCTAATAATAGTCCCATTATTTACCGACAAGAAACCTAATCCACTAGAGAATTGAAGATCTAGCAAATAATAAAAACAGTGTTGAGATCATAAAGAGACGCACGTGGGATGAAACGGGAAAGGATAGAAAATGTTTGTTTGAGTGAGTGAGGGGGACAAACAAAGTGTTAGGAAAATGGGGGAAGTGGATGAATCTCTCTTTTAACTCAAAAAAACACTGAGAAAAGAGTTCGAGTGCTGTTTCGGACAGCTTTGTCTTAATGTCTTGTCTCCATCAAGTTGTAAATACCAAAGTCTTATCATGTTTCTCCTATGTCTCCTCAACTACTATTTTACGATTCGTACCACAAGCCTTACCCCCATTCATTCATTATTCATGCTTCTTGATCTAAATTGGTATGAGATTAAACTGTTTTAGATTGTATTTTCTTAACCATAATTTATGTGAAGTTTGACCAAGCTTACATGTTAAACACATGCTGATCCAATCAGGCTTAGCCCATAAACTTTAATGGGCTTAATATCTCAAGAACTGGGCCTTGACCCAAAAGAATGGAGAAACACGTGACATTCCTCTCTGATAATAATTGGCAAAAAAAGCAAAAAAACAGAGGTGTGCTCAAATTTCCCGTGTCTTCTACGGTCAGTATCATTCATTTCGGTGACGCGAGTTTCGCCGGAGGGTGAGGTGAGAGCAACGAGTCAGAGAGACGGCGAACGAGGAAGACGAAGAGCGTGGAGAGAGTCTTCCTCTCTCGACGATGAATTCGATTAGGAATCCTGTTCTTCCGGTTTCGGATCCTCCTCTCGCCGGAGAGAATGACAGCGACGGTAAAGGTGTCGACGATCGGCTTTTCAAAGGATCCGCTATGACCAAACGTGGCGCTTACGCTGCTCTTTCTTACATGGCCTGCGCGGGTAAAATTTTCCTCGATTTCACTTGTTTCATCCAATCACGTGTTTTGTACTAGTGTCAGAATTCGATCTCCTCACTGTTTCAATCCACTTTTGTTATCACAGGGGAATCGCATATATAATTCTTGTGTAATTATAATTGAAATGTGACAGATATGAATATGGTTAATCAGTTAATTGTATGGTTAATCACACAATCGTCGGAATTTATGAATTGGATTTGACAATTGTTTCTTCATTTTTTCTGGTGTTAAATCGCAGTTATGCTTGTGCTGTTCAATAAAGCAGCTCTCTCTTCCTATGAGTTTCCGTGTGTGAACGTTATCACACTATCTCAGGTTTATACAGAGTTTCTCTTTTTGCAGTCTCTGTTATGTTCTGTGAGACTCATATTCTAAATTAGCTTGACATTTTTATGTTTACTCAGATGGTTTCGTCTAGCTTGTTTCTATATGCGTTGAGGCGGAGGAGGATCATCTCCTTCACAGCAGCTGATTCTTTTTCAGGCGCTGATAATGCCTCAACTTTTGTGCCGTTGAAGACATTGTTCCACACTCTTCCGCTAGCAACAGCTTATCTTCTGTACATGGTAACTATTTCACTGGAAAAGCCTGGCCATAATTAGTTTTTTATTTTATTTTTGGATTATGCAAGTAGTAACTGATCACAAATTTTGTTCAATGTATATCTCCTGAAAGCTAGCCTCTATGGCATCTGTCAGAGGTGTAAATGTTCCCATGTATACCACGCTCAGGCGTACCACGGTCGCATTTACTATGGTGATTGAGTACATGCTCACTGGTCAGAAATACACTCGGTCTATAATCGGAAGGTGAATCACTCTTTTCTCATTCTAGTTTTTACTCATACCAAAATAATTTCCGGAATTCAGATGGTGAATTTAATAGTATCATATAGGAAGAAATAACTCCTTGTGTTTGATAATGGTAGCTCTATGCTTATTCTGTATGTTACATCCTAATAAGAAATGTACATTTTAGTACCTACAAAGCGAGAAACTATGCTCCTTGAGTTTTATATACACAACTAAACTCTTGTAAGAATGATGTCAGTGTGGGCGTTATTGTGTTTGGAGCATTTTTCGCCGGAGCTAGGGACTTGTCGTTTGACTTTTATGGATATGCTATTGTTTTCTTAGCCAACATAACAACAGCAGTATATCTAGCAACCATTGCTCGGACTGGTACACTTGTCATCCACTTTCTGCAAGTTATTACATTCTCTCTTGCCAGTTTTGAGATCTCCTTACTCAAGTTTAATGTCTGGTTCTGCAGGGAAATCAAGTGGCTTGAATAGCTTTGGCCTCATGTGGTCCAATGGTAAATTTTTAAGAGACAACAAAAAAAATTGAGCTAAAACTCACAAGACTTCCTTTGAATCTATATGAGATTTTGCAATGATAGGTATTATATGCGGGCCTATATTGATGGTTTGGACATTTATTTGCGGTGACTTGGAGAAGACGATTAACTTTCCTCACCTTTTATCTCCCGGCTTCATGGTACTGTAAATCACTATCTTTGCCTTGTATATCTGTCCACTTTTGTGTTTGCGAGACTGATGTTGATTCCTTTTTATTTTCCCACTCAGGCTGTGCTATTCTGCTCGTGCGTGTTGGCTTTCTTCTTAAACTACAGCATTTTTCTTAACACCACTCTAAACTCGGCTCTCACACAGACAATTTGTGGCAATATGAAGGTTGGTTTCACTTAATAAGACTCCTGAGAGTCCGTACATACGTATATGTATGGATTTTGCATCTTGGTTAAACTATGTCATCGTTGCAGGATTTGTTCACCGTTGGACTAGGCTGGATGCTCTTTGGTGGACTCCCATTCGACCTGGTACTTTCTTCACCGGTCCCATTCTTTTTATGTTCCTTATATCGCATATCTACATTTGCCACATCTTAATACTGTTTTTTTTTGGGGGTACATTGACGCAGATGAATGTCATTGGACAGATTTTTGGTTTCTTCGGCTCTGGTTTGTATGCATATTATAAGATCATCGGGAGGTAATTAATTAGTCCAAAACAAAGAAGAGCCAATCGGCTCGATTAGAAAGAAAGAAAGAAACAAAGGGAAGTTTTAGTTGAAGGAGAAGTTGTTGAAGTAGATGTGTCAATTTTGGTTTTACAGGTGACTTAGACTTAGTATAATAATGCGAGGCCTCATTTCTTGAACTTGTGTTTTCAAGAAGGCGAAACATAACCGGATTGCGAAGAATCTGATTTTTGTCTTTGGGATCATTTTTCTTGTTTCTTCCCTTTGTGTATAAATTACAGAGAAGGATGACTCAGTTAATCATAGAATCTAATATTATCTTCTTCTTTTTTGGTTAATCATTCATGATATAAGTATAAGCAGTCTTCTCTTGGAATCTTTCTTCACTTTTCACGGTGATGTGAAAATTTTGTTTTGGCTCCTAAACAAACGGTAAACTTGCAGAAGAGTTGGTAAGAGCAAAAATGGAAATACAGAATTTGACGGATTAGATTACGAAAGTTATTATTAACAGTTTAACCGCCAAAAGTTAAAAATAATGAAGACACACCCAGTGGGACTCGAACCCACAATCGCTTGATTAGAAGTCAAGCGCCTTATCCATTAGGCCATGGGTGCTTATTGCATAGCGTTCCCAAGGGCTTATATATATATATATGTAAAATCGTATATTTTTATATTGCTCTGCCTAAAAGCAGAACATTTCACCGGGAAAAAAGTGGGAGGAAAAAGCAGAGAGAGAGATCCCTTAACCCTGATTCCCTTCAAAGTATCTCTCACTATCTCTCCTCCCTTCCTCATCTTCTTCCGACCTCCCATGGCGTCAATCTCCCACTCTGACTCAACTACACTTCTGATTTCGCATTCCTCGGCGCCGACAACTTCAAACTAGATGTTTTAGCCCGTAAAAAAAAAGTCTTATCCTTGATTTTCCGATGGAAGTCCCACGCCGTTCTTTAGCTGCGTCTCTCTCTCCTCTCCGCCTGATCGATGGACTCCCACGTCGTAGGAGTTTCAATTACAATCAGATGCCTGAAGAGCCCATCAAACTCACTGTTCTCAAGCTCGATGGATCTTCTTTTGGTACGAATACACGTTTATCATCTGCTTACTTGTTTATCAATGAATTTTGAGGTCTTTCCTAGTCTCGATTTGGGAATTGTTTCTGAATTTGTTACTTTGATTTGGGAAAATTGTTAGGTATTCAAGTATTGAAGACAGCTACAGTAGGGGAGCTCAAAATGGCAGTAGAAGCTGCGTTTTCTCACTTACCCATCACAGGCCCTGGCAAGATCTCTTGGTACTAAAAAAGTTTCTTCCTTTTTGCTTCTATAACCGAATTGTAACTGCTAAAAAAGGACTCTTTATTATGAAAGGCCGCATGTTTGGGGACAATTCTGCTTATGCTATGAAGAACAAAGATTGATTAACGAGGCTGAGTACCTGAGTGACTTAGGCATCAAAGACGGAGATCAGGTTCGTAAAGATTTGATATTTCGATTTCAGCTGACATTTCGACTACATTCTGGCTAAATGGGTTTTGACTTTTGAGTCTTTTTGAACAAACATGACTCAGCTTCGATTCATTCGCCATATCTCAAACTACTGCATCTTGATGGTGAAGCAGAAGAAGAGCAAGACGACACCACGTGTTTCTTCTTTGAAACAACTTAAACTGTAAGAATCTTTTCTTTTCCATTAGTGTTGATGTTTTTAGCATTTCATCAAGTCATGAGATAGATACTTGTTTTAGACCGTCTAGGTTCTCAATCAAAAACGAAACCTGGAAAAAGAAGGGGAAAGAAGATCAAGAAGACGGTGTTGACTCCATCCCTCAGAGACAACCAAGCTTTCTAACGACTGTGTTGGGAGGTTGGCTTTCTTCAAAGTCAACGCCAAGTCATCCAGGGACTAAACACAGAAACGTGACTGCTTCTTCTACTTCCTCGTCTTACCAAAGAGTTTTTAACAAACTCATGGCAAGGTTTCGCTTCAAGTGTTATTCAGAGAAAGATGTCTGGAACAGAAAGAAACTCATCTCTGAAACATGAAAAAGAGGCTCCTTAAACATTCTCGTTTGGTTCTTGTAGAGATGATTTTGATTTTCCCAAACTTCATGTTTATATGTAACTTCCCTCTGTTGTGTGTGCGTGCAAAACGAATAAAGGCTTGTAATTGTTTCATCTTATTACCCATTTGTAAGCATTTTCCTTTCGATTGTAAACATAAAATGCCAAACGCAAATGATTCTTTCTTGTCTTTTCTGTTTGTATTTGACGTTTAAATTTATGAACGTGTATAAATTCAAACGCAAGCACAAAAATTGCGTTTGGGGCCAAACGCAACAATTTCTTAATTTTAATTTCGTGTGTATTTTTTTTTCAGCTCCTTGACATTTTAGCTAAGCCTCTGCTTATTTGTGTGGTAAAGAGAAGAGATAACATTTCTAAGAAAATCTCTGATCTCTCTCTTTCTCTTTGCCACTCTCTCTTCGTCTCCAAGAGATTACAGAGATCAGTTTGAGCATTCTCATCTCTCGGCGCTGTGTGTGTGGCCATGGCTAACTCGATTATGGCTTCCTCCAAACCACTGATCTTCCTCTCCTCCTCCAACCAACCAAGCCGCGTCCAGATTCCCAAATTCGCAAAACTCCCCCAAATCCCCAAATCCATCTCTTCCTCCTCCGACCTCCGCAACAAGGCTCTGTCACTCTCTTCCGCCACCGCGAAATCCCTAGCCCTAATCGCCGCCTTCGCTCCCCCGTCGATGGCGGAAGCGATGGAGAAGGCGCAGCTCTTCGATTTCAACCTGACGCTTCCGATCATCGTCGTGGAGTTTCTCTTCCTCATGTTCGCGCTCGACAAGGTCTATTACTCGCCGCTTGGGAACTTCATGGACAAGAGAGACAGTGAAATCAAGGAGAAGCTCGCGAGCGTGAAGGATACTTCCGCGGAGGTGAAGGCGCTCGACGAACAAGCCGCCGCCGTTATGAGAGCAGCTAGGGCCGAAATCGCCGCCGCGCTTAACAAGATGAAGAAGGAGACCCAGGTAAAAAAAAATTAATCTCAGATCTTAAAGGTGAAATTGGAAATGGTGATTTGAAATTGGATTGATTTGGCAGGTGGAGGTTGAGGAGAAGCTAGCGGAAGGAAGGAAGAAGGTGGAGGCGGAGCTACAGGAAGCTCTGGCGAGCTTGGAGAAGCAGAAGGAAGAAACCATTAAAGCTTTGGATTCTCAGATCGCTGCTCTCAGTGAAGACATTGTCAAGAAGGTTCTTCCTTCTTAAATCAAAATTGTTTTTAAAATTTTGTAATTTCTGTCTTTTCCCAAACATATTTACTGTAAATCTCTCTTCTCTCTGTCTCTCTTGGATTGTTCGTCGTTCAAGAAGAACAATTCGTTTATTGTAAGTTTATAAATAATCTAGCTCTCGTCTCCTAATTAGTCGATATGATTTTGAAAATCTGAGTAATCAGTTGTTGTGGATAAAATCTTCATCGGCTCTTGTCGTCACAAGATTTTACATGTACTTCTTTGTTTAAGAAGAAGATTTCAAAACTGAACACTCCAGCGTAAAGCTGAAGGGATTCACAAATTCCGAAATGGGTTCAGATCCAACAAGGAAGCCCAAAAGCATGTCCGATAAAGTTCTGTTGGTAGGTCGATGACGATGACTTGATTCACTCCGTTTTGGTTCACATTACCGCTGCTACGAAGTAGAAACCTCCTCTAACAAAGCTAAACAATTTTGTTTTAACGACTGGAATTTCAATAAATCAATCCATAATACCGAACCGATTACAAACTAAAACATTTATGTAACTTTTGTTGTTGTTGTCCAAACATTTATGTTTATACTTTGCATTAATACAAATTTCCTAGATATTTATGACAAAATTAAAATGAAAAGTTTCGTTTTGTTTTTAAATTGGGCCTTGTGGTTGTGGAATTAAGAAACGCAACGGTGTTTCATCAAAACAAATTACAAATTACGGGGCCTCCACGCCTTCTTCATCTTCCTTCTTCTTTCTTCCTTCGTCTCTTCTCTCTCTCACAGGAGGTAACTATCTCTCTCTCCGAGGTTCTCTGTCTTTATCAGCTCGTGAAGTTACTTGTTTTAGTTTCCGATCATCATTTCTCACTTTTGTTTTGCTTTCTTCCTTTCTCTTTCATCAGGGACTTGGAGTTTTGGTATTATCACATTCCCTCGTCTTCGCCGTCATTACTGGTGTTAGGTTTCAAAGGCTTCTTAATCCGTCGATATTTCTCTTTACACTATTTTCTCTCCGAATCTCCTTCATTTCCGGTTATTCTCTTTGCCTCTACTTTTGCTCTTCTTTGCTTTTTTTTTTTTTTTCCTTTTTTTTCTTTTCAATCTGTGATCTTCGATATTTCCTGGTTTCATAAGTTGAGATTTTCATTGGAACTAGTTTCAGTTTGATTTCTTAGTTTACAATTTTCGATATGTGAGATCTGACTCCTCTGTAGTGTTGGTCATTTCTTTGATTGACTCATGACTCTAATTTTTTTCTTGCGGTAATTGAGTTCCATTACGATTGGCCTCTGTTGCTTGTTCTTCTACTTCTCCACGACACTGTCTTTGTCCCTTGTTTGCATAGCTAACTTAATTTCAAAATGGAGAACACAAACACGTCTCTGATTTCTGACTTTTCTCTTCAAATTGCATATATTGCTAATTTACAATGATATTTAGTCTCGGAACGAGCTCCTATTTCACAGGAAAAGGTTGTAAGAATAGCTAACAAGTGCTCAACTTTCGACTTATTGTGCTGAGTTTCTTGCTTAGATAGTTTGATTTGTGTATTGCATTTATCTTGTATCCTAATTGGTGAAACTATGTTTGCCTGGTTCAGAGAGAAGATAGATGGCTTCAAAGATGGTTGCTGACAAGGCGGATGATTCAGAGTATGAAATCATTGAAGGTGAGCCTGAGAGTGCTTTAGCAGCCGGGACAAGCCCTTGGATGAATTCCGCAACTTTGAAGCTTCGTCATCGAATCGGAAGAGGTCCCTTTGGTGATGTTTGGTTGGCTACGCATCACCAGTCGACCGAGGACTACGATGAGCATCATGAAGTGGCAATCAAAATGCTCCATCCTATCAAGGAGGATCAAAGGAGAGTTGTGGTTGATAAGTTTGAAGATCTGTTTTCCAAGTGTCAAGGGATGGATAATGTCTGTCTTCTCCGTGGAGTCTCTAGTATCAGTGGAAAGGTAAGTAAAAAAAATAACATGATTTTGTTCTCCATATTTTCTCGAGAAGTTCACTTGTGTGTTCTGTTCTTCAGATATGCATCGTCATGAAATTCTATGAAGGCTGTGTTGGTGACAAGATGGCTCGGCTTAAAGGAGGAAAGCTTTCACTCCCTGATGTATTGAGGTAATTTTGCATTACACAAGTATGCAGCTAATAGTAGCAGTGTCGTCTTCAATCCTATGTTGAATACTGATGTCTTCTCATCTATGTTGGCCCTCACTTTACAGATATGGGGTTGATCTGGTGACAGGGATCCTGGAGTTGCACTCAAAAGGGTTTCTGATTCTCAACCTTAAGCCATCTAACTTTCTTCTCAGTGATAACGACAAGGCCATCCTCGGGGATGTTGGAGTCCCTTATCTCCTTCTTAGTATCCCTCTGCCAAGTTCTGATATGACAATGAGACTTGGAACTCCGAACTACATGGCTCCGGAACAGTGGCAACCGGAGGTAAGAGGTCCCATGTCCTTTGAGACTGATTCTTGGGGATTTGGATGCAGCATTGTGGAAATGCTGACTGGTGTACAACCTTGGTCTGGGAGATCCGTTGATGAGATATACGACTTAGTGGTGAGAAAGCAAGAGAAGCTTAATCTCCCCAGTGGCATACCGCCTCCTCTCGAGAATCTGCTTCGAGGCTGCTTCATGTTTGATCTTCGAAGCCGACCTTCGATGACTGACATTTTACACGTCTTGAAGAGGTAAAAGCATACTCTGTCACCGTTCAACATTCAGTTTGAAACAAGATTGACATTCTTGATGGTACATGTTGATTGGCACTTTTGGCCATTTCGATTTGGCAGCTTGCAGAACGCAGAGGAGGAAGAGGTCTGGAGAGGCGTTGATAGTAGAGAAATCAGGAAGAGCTCGGCTACTCTCGGTTATACAGAATGGTTTCTTTCAAAGGATCATTTGCAAGTGGGCGACACAGTGCGTTCAAGAAAGCCTGCGAATGCGTGTAAGCATGAGAGCATGGATGTGCCAGAAGGAACGGTGGTTGGTTTAGAACGTGACACAGACCCGGATGGATTTGCTCTGGTTAAAGTCCATGGTGTTCATGATCCGTTAAGGGTTCACGTATCTGTTCTTGAACGGGTAACAAAGGGCTTAGCCTCTGGAGATTGGGTACGCCTGAAGGATAAAGAAGACAAGAGGCATTCTCCGGTTGGTATTGTCCATTCGATCAGCCGCGAGGGAGATGTAGCTGTTGGGTTTATTGGGTTGCCAACTCTCTGGAGAGGGACTTCTTCTCAGCTTCAGATGGCTAAAGCGTACAGTGTGGGTCAATTCGTGAAGCTCAAAGGCAATGTTGTCATCCCGAGATTCAAATGGATGCGTAAAGGAAGAGGGATTTGGGCAACTGGCAGGATCTCTCGGGTTTTACCAAACGGTTGCCTCGAGGTTGATTTCCCTGGAGTGTTGCCTTTTGGAGAGGAAAATGGAAGTTGTCTTGCGGATCCAGCTGAAGTAGAGGTTGTGGATTTCGATACATGTCAAGGAGTTGTGAAGAAGTATCAGCATCTGGAAGATTTTCACTGGGCTGTGAGACCTCTGCTGATTGCTATGGGTCTATTGACAGCAATGAAGTTAGGGCTCTTCGTTGGGAAGAAGATAGGAAGATCAAAGGATGGGAAACAACGGGATGGAGGCTCGAGTGGACAAGGAGATTGTCAGATTCTGGATGGTCAGGACTCTGCCAAATCTAAATGGCTTATGTTCAGTGTTAAAGGCTAACTGTCAGTACTCAGTAGGTTTGTGTCAAACCTGGTCCGGTCTGGTCTATGTTCTAGTCATGGATGCATAGTTTCATATTATTAGTAGTACATGTACATATCAACATTTTTTTTCCTCTTTCAACATCATAAAATACTTGCTCGTATTGTATTTGATGGGACTAAGCATATACCATCAGCTTTTAGATAACGACTTCTAACGACGCTATAAGTTTATTGGAGATCACATATGTTTTATTTTCATGAGAACATAAGAGGGTACAAATCTCTTGTCTTCCATGTCTAAACTTGCATGCTGAACAATCTTAGTTTTGATGACTGAGTAACAACATATTTAACCTCCAGTAACTCTACATATCCACAAAAAAAATACATATTTAATCTGCATAAGCTTCATATAGTCACACCTTTCATGCCTGTGGATGTACCAGCGACGATTCCTGCATTCTCCAGGAGTTTCTCTGTCAAGGACCAGAGCCTCACAACTTCTGTTTTTACCTCAGCAATACAACCATTACTTTCGGCTGAATAGTTTTCAGGCATTGCAACGAAAGTAGGATCGGCCTGGATGCTCATGTCAGCTTGAGTCAGAAGTTCTGTGCTCATTTCTGCAAGCTTCTGTAATGCGCTGGTTGCAGCTTCAACTTCAAGTTGAGCTGCCTCAAGCTGAAGCTTCTCAATGGCTAATTCACCCATTGTTCTCTCCCCGATTCTCTCCTGTGCCAAGGCATATAGCGTTTTCAAATCCTCACTGTCATTGATCGTTTCTTCTTTCAGTTTCTTGACTTCCTGCTCCTTGGCTTCTAATCTTCCCATGATCACGTTGATCTCTTCGTCTTTAAACGTCAAAGCCCTCTGCACAGCTAGAACTTCCATTTCTTTCATCCGCAGATTCTCTTTAGTAAAGTTTAACTCCATCGCTAGCCGTTTGTTCTCCATTCCGTAATCACCATGATGAGGTTTCTCTACCGGTTGCTGCATTGAATCAAAGCTGATCGCGTTGCCAATCCTCATTGCGTTCTGATCTTCACCGTTGGTGCTTGACATAACCAACCTGCTCGTCAAATCTGCAATTCTTTTCACCACCATTTCAACTTCAGTGACTTGCAGCTTGGAACTGTCCAACTCACCTTCTATTCTGTGAAGGTGGACATCTTTCTCCTTCAGCATTTCCGTTGCCTGCATAAGCTCATCTTCTCTACTGGCCATAAGCATCTTTAGCTCTGTTACCTCCAGCTGCACTTCTTCCAGTTTATTTCGAGCTTCCGTGAGTTCTTCATCTTTCTCTTGCAGTAACAGTTCTAGAGAAGCCTGTTCAGCCTTCAGATGCTGAATCTCTAGCTTCGCCTCCACCAAACTTGACTCTTTCTCTTTAAGTAAATTCTGTAATACCTGAAACGCCTCAGTTTTTCTGTTTAGCTCATCTTGAATAGCTGATACATCATGCAAAACTTGCTCCAACAAAGATTTATCTTCCTTCAACTCCTCACGTAATTCCTCCAACAGTTTCTTTTGGATTGACATTTTCCCCTCAAGTGCAAAGTTCTTAGCCTCCGCAACTCTGAGCTTTACTCTCTCGCTTTTCACTTCAGTGTGAGCATCTCTCAAGCTTTGCATGTATGAATACACACTCTTCCTCTGTTCCTCCACTTCCTCTAATTGTTTTTCTAGTAGCAGCTCCTTCTCTTCCATTTTCTCCCTGGAAGATACCAAAGCTTCCCGAGAAGAAACAAGCTCGAATCTCACATCTGTAAGAAGCTTCTTCACTCTCCTAAAGTCCTCCATGGTTTCATTTGCTTCTTCTCCTAACCGTTTCACGGTTTTCTCCTGAAGCTTATTCACTTCATCTTGCGCTATCAGCCACTCTTCAGTCTGCTTCTTCAAGTTAGCTTCTGTTTCTCTGAGCTTTTCCTGTTCAAGTTTCTTCACAGCCTTAGAAACTTCTAGCTCTTCTTCCTTCTCCTTTAGAGCTCTCTGAAGTGCATTTATCTCACCTTCTTGTCTCTTCACAACTTCATCAGCTTTGCTCAAGAGTTGTGACTTGTTTTCAAACTCAGAAACCGCCACAGAGACCTCCTTGCTTTTGTTCGCAATCTCATCACGCATTCTCTCCAGCTCTCGCTCTTTCAAAGCGAAGGACGATTGCATAGCAACAAGTTCCTCGTCTCTTTCCCTAAGCTTATGCTTTAGTTCTTCAATCTCTCTCGCTTGAGAAGCCAACTCCACATTCGCACGCTTCAGCTCCTCTTGCAGAGTTTCATGCTTCAAAGAAGCTTCCACGATTGTTCTCTCTCGTTTCTCTAACTCCTCCTTTGCCCTGTTTAGTTTCTTCTTCTCAGAGAGAACTTTCCTCTCAGCATCTTGCAAGTCCTCTTCCCTTTTCAACAAGGCCATTAGCGCAGCCTGAAGATCAGGCTCGAGGCCTCCAAGATTTGAATAGGGCAGATCCTCCTCATCAGAGTAAACCGAGTTCTGATTCGTTTGTCTGTCCAGTTTCTGTGTCTGAGCGAACAGTTTCTCCAGAAGAAGCTTTGAAGGCTCAGCTGTTCCATTGTCGTTGATGTTTAAGACTGACTTAACACTCAGTAAAGAACGTCTCTTTCCCCTTCTACTGCTCGGGAACGCAACAAGACTCTTCTGCTTCTCGTTCACTCTTGTGGAACAATACTGCATCAGAGAATCATATCGCCAACATCAGAATCAAACTCAAAATGGGAAAACACAATCTTGATGGTTTTGGCCAGACACTAAGCAACTTGGAAGCAAATAATTGCAGCGGAAATATATAAAACATAAAAGGGTCTTAAAATTCCAACCTTACGCAAAGAATAAGGAGGGAAACAAAACCCAAGAACAAAGACAGCAAAAATCAATACAAACCAGAGATTTAAATGAAACTAAATTTTGTCAAAAGTTTCATAATATTACGAGAACAAAAAAAAACAAGTCTTTCTGAATCAGCAGCTACACGTATACGAGTATATAGAGAACAGAGGAGTAGGAAGTAACCTCGCAGGGAGAGAGAGACGAGTAGGAAGCAAGATTTAGGCGAATAGCATGAGAGAAACCCATCCCGAGAGCATATTAGACGATCGACATCAAAGCTTTAACGCAAACGAAAACCGTAATCTCAGTTACAGAATCAAAATTAACGAGAAGAGTGGCGTTTGGAGAGGGTTTACGAGGGCAAAACCCAAATCGAAGGAAGAAGAAGAATCTAGGAAGGGAGAGAGAGAGAGAGAGAGAGAGAGAGAGAGAGAGAGATGCAAATGTAATGGCAGCAAGTTGGAGCAATGTAAGGAAGGGATTGGTGTGGAGGATGGGATCCTTGAAAATGACTTCTTTTGGATAAAATTAAAATTATTTTTTAAGGATCCAAAAGTTTTAATTAAAACTGGGAAAATAATTTAGAAAAATTAGAAATAGAGAGGCTCGCGTTGGCTTGCGAGTTGTTATCGCTATCAAAGTCAAAAGACCCTTTTGCCCTTATTCGTAAGTTTCATGTCGGCATGTCCACATGTCCAGTAAGCCGCCACGAGATCTATTTCTGAGTAATGGTTTTTGGTTACGTGGCAATGGTTTCCTAGTATAGCTAAGTCGTGTGGTTAGAAATGGCTAACGAAGTTTGATTATAATTTTGTTTTGTAGTTCAAATCTTCTTCTTTTTTCTTGGTCAAGTTTTTCTGGAATCTGATATATTTCTGTATTTTTTTCTATTAAAACATAAAAAGGTATATTCAGGGCCGACATAAATAAGGTATTTTCGGTTTGATATCTTACTAGTGTTCTTGGGTCTATAGCCCAATAGTATTTTGAGGATCCATTACAGGCTTCCTACTTTCCAAAACTTTGAGGTCATATTGCAATTTCGCAAATGATCCTTTTTGTAATTTTGGATTTGAAACTATGAACTCTGTACAGGACTGAAAGAAACCAAATTGAAACAAATTAACAGTTGGAGTTGGAAACTTTAAATATAGACGTAGCATAAGTGCATAACTAAAGAATGCCGAAACAAACTCTTCCGAGTAGGCTCTAATCCACATCTTATCTTCTTACACCAAACTAGAAGCCACAAACGAAGTTCGAGTTTAGTCAGTAACATGAAACAGTAACACCAAACCTAATCCATAATTAAAGCATGCAATAATGCATCCAATAAACTGATTTTTTAAATAATTTATTAGTTAATCAAATATTTTAATAATCATGAATTACATTTATATACACGATAATGTGACAACTGAAGTCAAGATTTGTTGGTTTATTTAGGTCCGCTTCAGCTTTGATTATCCCTTTGTCCGTCCGATTCTAGCTTCCGAACTAGCAAAAGCTCGAACTGGTTAGTTGTCTTAACTTCTCTGACGGAAGTTTAAAGTCTTCTCAGTTCGTGTCCTTTTTGCTGACTAAATTCTCGATCCGGACAAAAACCCAAGATAGCTGTTTCTGAGTTTTTGCTAGTCTGGGAAAATTAGTGAAATTGAAGATAATCTTAGAATTTAAAATTTTGCAGGTAGGGCTTTTGTGGTGTTGGAATTAGGCAGTTGTTGGTGATCCGATCTTTCTGGGTGAATTTTTATTTTACAATATATAAAATAAATAAATGGCGGGTCCAGAAGATGAGCATGATCCAATTCTCCACGATAAAAGAGAAGCTGAAGCAGCAAAATCTCAGGTTTGTGTTGGTGCTGGTGGTGAGAGAGATATGGCTCCTTCAGCTCCTGGGACTTCAATCCACAGATCCGGCTCGAGGCCACAGCTTGATCTGAGCAAAGCTGAAATTCAAGGGAATTTCGAGGAGAGAGATCCTACCATTCTCTTACCTAATCAGTCCGATGATATCTCTCATTTGGCACTTGACATTGGAGGTATGAAAATTTATGAAATTTCGATGCTTTTGTCAAATGCCGTGAGCGAAACGTGTAAACCAATTGAGTTTGTTTGTAGGATCTTTGATAAAGTTGTTGTATTTCTCACGGCACGAGGACTATTCGAATGATGATGATAAGAGGAAGAGGACGATCAAGGAGAGATTGGGGATAACCAATGGGAACTTGAGAAGCTATCCTGTTCTTGGTGGGAGACTTCACTTCGTCAAGTTTGAGACTCACAAGATAAACGAGTGCTTGGATTTTATTCATTCCAAGCAGCTTCATCGCCGAGGTATTGCCTTTTCTCTTGCCTTCTTATTCATCTCATCTCAACCAATTCTCATTTGAAACAATGAATAGATCCTTATCCTTGGAGCTCGAAGACACTGCCTTTGGGGACTGGTGTTATCAAGGTAAATGATTAGGTGATGATTGCTTTGTTTAAAACATATGAGTGAGGACTCAGGCGTACGTGTGTGTTACAGGTTACAGGTGGAGGGGCCTATAAATTTGCAGACTTGTTCAAGGAAAGGCTTGGCGTTAGTATTGAAAAAGAAGATGAAATGCATTGCCTTGTTTCTGGAGCTAATTTTTTGCTCAAGGTTAAGACTTTTTCTTTATGCGACATTCCAATAGTATTGTCTCTGATAAGACTATTGAAGTTTGTTCTGCATGTTTGTGATGTATTTTTTGTTCTGCAGGCTATTCGACATGAAGCCTTCACGCACATGGAGGGTGAGAAAGAATTTGTACAGATAGATTCTAATGACTTGTATCCCTATCTTCTTGTGAACGTTGGATCTGGTGTTAGCATAATCAAGGTATCTTTCTTTTTTTTTACGTTTTGCTACATCTTCCACAAACTCGTGTGTTGTGGCCTTTAGATTTGACGCAATGTCTTTGGAAAGTATAGGTTGATGGGGAGGGAAAGTTTGAGCGTGTGAGTGGGACTAATGTTGGAGGTGGTACCTACTGGGGCTTAGGAAGACTTTTGACTAAGTGCAAGAGGTTACAACTATGAATCTGATTTCTTGCACTACTTTGTTATATTCTTGTTTCTTATAGTTTATGATGTTTTTTCTTTTTGTTGTAGTTTTGATGAATTGCTAGAACTCAGCCAAAAGGGAGATAATAGTGCCATTGACATGCTTGTTGGTGATATTTATGGTGGCATGGATTACTCCAAGGTATGAGTCTACTTTGACTGCTCTCATATGAAAAGCTTAGGATGCTATTTTACTAACGTTCATGAACTAATTACACAGATTGGTCTCTCTGCTTCAACGATAGCTTCGAGTTTTGGCAAGGCTATCTCTGAAAATAAGGAGCTGGAAGATTACAGACCTGAAGATATATCCTTGTCTCTTCTGCGGATGATTTCATACAATATTGGACAGGCATGCCACTTGGAATATTTGATCACTGTATTGGATTGAACACTTGAGATATAGTTTTGAGTTTCTGATTCGTTTTGTTGCTATGTAGATATCGTATTTGAACGCACTTCGCTTTGGGTTGAAGAGAATATTTTTTGGAGGATTTTTCATAAGAGGTCATGCATATACCATGGACACAATCTCGTTTGCTGTACACTTCTGGTCCAAAGGAGAGATGCAAGCAATGTTCTTGAGGCATGAAGGTTTTCTAGGTGCTCTGGGTGCGTTCATGAGCTATGAGAAGCATGGATTGGATGATTTAATGTCTCATCAGTTGGTTGAGAGGTTCCCAATGGGTGCACCATACACTGGAGGAAACATTCACGGACCACCACTCGGTGATTTGAACGAGAAGGTAACCAATTTAAGCTAACGTTCTAGTAATGTCTCAGATTGCTCTACTTGATACTTTGAAACTGACAGCCTTAGATTCCGTAATGACGTGGTACTGCTCAAATATTAGTGTGCGAATATAATACCATTTATACTTAGTGCGTGCTGCGTAATACCATTATAGGATATGCTGTTCTTGAAACTGGACAAGAAATTCTTTGTTGATATTGTATAACTTAGAGAGATTCATTGTTCTATAGATCTCTGATCATACAGAGTACTCTTAATATTCGTTTCTGAATCTTTCTTAACAAAAGCAAAACCTTTTAAAAAAAATTTAGTCACGGTTATATACATTGTTTTCTTTATTTTGTGTATACATATATATATCAAAGGTTGAAATGAGAGTCATAAGCGAATCGTCTATTGAATTTCGAATCAGATGCTCTTTCCCTTTTTCAACTTTTCTTTCTCTAATGGTAAAGAGAGATAACTTCAACTAGTTATAAGCGTTCTGTATCTTGACTCCTGTCTGGATAAGTTTTGGAGTTTGAAGTGATTTTCCTGGTTGCTTTCAGATATCTTGGATGGAAAAGTTTGTGCGTAGAGGAACTGAAATAACTGCTCCGGTACCGATGACTCCATCGAAAACGACTGGACTTGGAGGGTTTGAAGTTCCTTCGTCAAGAGGTAGTGCTCTAAGATCTGACGCCAGTGCTTTAAACGTCGGCGTTCTCCATCTTGTGCCAACACTAGAGGTGTTCCCATTGCTGGCCGACCCGAAAACGTAAGAACTATGTCCCCAAGTAACGTCTTGAGCTTGTAACATATCTCTCATGGTTTGTCGCTTGTTCATGATCATGGAGTATTTGTGTTCTCGTGTGTCTCCAGGTATGAGCCTAACACGATTGACCTATCAGATCAAGGCGAACGCGAGTGAGTAATAACTCGATGCTAATCTTCCAAACCACTTGTTTTATTTGATGAGAAACACTGTTTTCTTAGATTGCTTATTATGTTTTGGTGTTGTAGGTACTGGCTCAAAGTTTTGTCCGAGCATTTGCCAGACCTCGTTGATACGGTAACTGTTAAAGTCAATAAATAAGATTCTTTGTGTCCTGTGACTCTTGCTTTACTGTTATTTCATGGACATGATTACAGGCTGTGGCAAGTGAAGGAGGGACAGAGGATGCGAAAAGGCGTGGTGATGCTTTTGCTCGTGCTTTTTCTGCTCATTTGGCAAGGTTTGCTTCATCACAACACAGATTCAAGAAAATCTTGTTTTGCCTTTTTGCTGACAATCTATTTTGGTTGTAGATTAATGGAAGAGCCAGCTGCTTATGGAAAGCTGGGGCTAGCAAATCTCTTGGAACTTAGGGAAGAATGCTTAAGAGAATTCCAGTTTGTTGATGCCTATAGAAGCGTCAAGCTAAGGTAAAACTTAGTCCCTATAATCTCTCTCTCTCTCTATATCTCTCTCTTGGTGTTTCTCTTATCTTTCTTCGAAATTGATAGGGAGAACGAGGCATCGCTTGCTGTTTTACCTGATTTGCTGGAGGAGCTTGACTCAATGAGCGAGGTCTGTGATCTTTAACACTCTTCTTCTCTCTGTAGGTTTATGGTTTGCTACTAAAATGAGACTAACATTTTACTAATTTTTCAGGAGGCGAGGTTGCTGACACTAATAGAAGGTGTTCTTGCTGCAAACATATTCGACTGGGGATCTCGAGCATGTGTGGATTTATATCGCAAAGGAACCATTATTGAAATATACAGAATGAGTCGCAACAAGATGCAGAGACCTTGGAGGGTGAGAGACAAGACTCACCTATGTTATATTTTCCTGATGTTACTGTTTGCTAACTTTCTGTTTTATACGTGAAATCAGGTAGATGATTTCGATGCTTTCAAAGAGAGGATGCTTGGCTCTGAAGGTAAGCAGCCTCATAGACATAAAAGAGCGTTACTCTTTGTTGATAACTCTGGAGCAGACGTCATTCTTGGGATGCTTCCTCTTGCCCGAGAGTTTCTCCGTCGTGGGACTGAAGTACGCATCTCTCTCTCTCTCCCTAGCTCTTCCTCTAATGAGGAAACACTAAAGAAAGGTGTTATTGTGATTCTACAGGTTGTTCTAGTGGCAAACTCTCTTCCTGCTCTAAACGACGTGACTGCTATGGAACTCCCGGATATAGTCGCAGGGGCTGCTAAGGTTTTTTTTCGATTCTATGCTTTGAATATAATGATTCTTTTCATGTAAGTAACTCTTTTGTTCTCTGTCTTTACTCTTGAAGCACTGTGACATCTTGAGGAGAGCGGCGGAAATGGGAGGCTTACTTGTGGATGCGATGGTGAATCCAGGGGATGGGTCAAAGAATGATTCAACTTCAGCACCATTGATGGTTGTTGAGAATGGATGTGGAAGTCCTTGCATTGACCTTAGACAAGTCAGCTCTGAGCTTGCAGCTGCTGCCAAAGACGCTGATCTTGTACATCTACAAAACCTTGCTCTCTCTCTTTTCTTACATGAAAAAGTGAGATGCTGTGTTCATAGTGTCTGATGCTTAATGAATGATATTACAGGTTATATTGGAAGGAATGGGAAGAGCACTTCACACCAACTTCAATGCTCAATTCAAATGCGAGGCTCTCAAAGTTTGTAACCTCACTTGATGACATAATTGTTTTAATCTTAAGATATCTATTGACACTTTTGATGGAAACCTTTCTTTTTTCTTGCTTTGCAGCTAGCAATGGTGAAGAATCAGAGATTGGCTGAGAAGTTGATAAGAGGAAACATATATGATTGTGTTTGTAGATACGAGCCTCCTTCTCTTTGAAAAATGTTATGTAACATACATAGCCCCTCATTGTTGTAACAAATTAGAGATTTCTTCAGTTTGGAATATGTTATTCACTGTTTCCGTTAAACTTCGACTGTATAAAATGTAATTTAATAAATCAAAATCACTTGCTGAAAGTAGCATTAAGCTTCAATGACATTGTCAAAAAGAGCAACCTTATTAGTCTGAAGTTTTTGCGAGCAATTTGTCAACCATGATTCTCTGCTGAGTCCCACTAAGGATTCTGAGTTCATATAGCTGAGAAATAAAAAGTTCCAAATCCAAAGAACAAAACGTTGCAGTCTATATTCTATTATTCTGCATCAACTGTAAAAAGCAGTTTACTATTTCAGTCCGATCGAATTAGCACCAATGTAGCAAGGTTGTTCTTCTCAGTTTACTTCTTTTTCCTTTCTTTTTCTTGCTTGTTTAAAAGAGCTTGTTGAAAAGAGCTTGCTTCTATTTCTGTTTCTCCGTTTTCACCACTTCCCTCTTTTTCTTATGCTTTTGAGCAATCATTCGTTTGGCTTACTCCTTCTCCTTTCTTCACTGCTTCAATGCTGGATTTCTGCTGGCTGGGGAGTCTTGGCAAGAGACAGAGCAAGACTGCTCATGATGTCCTTTGCCAGCTCAATGTCATGATCAGTCATGTGGCAAAATGACTGATACTCTCTCTTAAATGTACCTAGCGTGAAACAAACTGTAGCCTTTAAGTCTAAGATGGCAGTAAAAGCCTCTATATTCTATTATTCTGCTTAAACTGTAAAAAGCACTTTACTTTTGCAGCTATATTTGAAATATTAATTGGACTTGCTTTTAATGTCATCGTAGACTGATGGCTAAAGTTTGTTTCAATTCAAGCTAAGTACATTTAATGTACATTCAAGAGAATTAGTAATTTTGACATTATATGTCCTGACATGTCGTTGGATTTGGTGAGTTTTCAGGCTCTTTGTTGGAAACTGAGGGAGAAGGAATCCGAGAGAGGATGAGAGTAAATGTGAGTATGTCTTGTGTAAACTGAGGTTCAATCTAGATTTATATATGAATGTGAGTATATTTCTTGTGTAGATCATTCTGATTTCACAACAATGATTACCAAGAACAAAATTTGACATCTAGATCGTCCTCCCTCTCTTTAAAAATGTTGTGTAACATAGCCCATCACTGTTCTAACAAATTAGACATTCTTCTGTATGGAATATGTATTTACTGTTTTCAGTAAACTTCGACTGTATAAAACGTATTTCAATATATCAAAATCACTTGCTAATCCAATTACATTTCAACAAGTTTAACACTGTCAACGTTTTAGTCTGAAATTTTTGCAAGCAATGTCTCGACCATGATTCTCTGCTGAGTCCCACTTAATGACTCTGAGTTCATAATCGCATTGGCAACGATAACGACAGTACGTGGAGCAGCTGCTTTAACCCACACTCTGCCGTTTAAGCCAGTGGCGGTCTCGAATGAGAGTTTCTTTCCAAGAGCTTCGAGGACAGGGCACGACGGCGAACTCAACAACCTATATAATATTAGTTACAAAGTTAGATCTCTTTCAAGGAAGAGAAAGGCAGATGAAGAATTAAGAGAGAGAGAGAGAGTTTATAGTGAAGTGAAGATCTCACATTCTTGAAAGACCCGTCGAAGTTTCAAACATGAAACCATCTCTCAAGGGTCCAAATTCTGCAGCGTTGCCAATTGCTACATTTTAACAAACAATCAAAAAAGCAATTAGTTTTTTGGGAAGCATTCACAGTAGAAAGAGAAAACAGATTTTGAGTTACCATCAGTAGCGCACAGCTCGGAATTCATTCCTTTGTTTGACTTGACAGTTGACAACACGAACATAGAGCAAAGTGCCTACCTGTTTCATTACAAAACGAATCAATGTTAACTTCACACGAAAACATATAAATCATTCTAAAAATGTGGAAAGCAACAAAAGCATGATCAGAATGTGCATACTTCAAACTTGGGATCCTTTTTTTTCCTCGGCAAAAGCGCTAGTTGTGGTCCTTTTATGTCTACCCAATAATTCTGCAATGCCAAAAAAAAAAAGACAAGACTAATCTGAGAGGGAGCTGAAAACAGTAAGTTCAAGAATCTGAACAAGCAAGATATCAATGAACTCACATCAGCTTTAGAATCTACCACGATTCCAAGAACATTATCCTCTAGGCGAGGTATGTACTGCACATAGATAGTCCAGAGTCAAGAACAAAGAAAACAAGACCTACGCATAGATATTCCAACAAAGTAACCTCAATACTCTTTACAAGAGTGGTAGATAAACCATAGAGCTCACCCGTTTATGAGAACTTTCGACCCAATACTTATTAGGCTTTGAGTAACTAAACTTCCCAGCTCTCATGGCAGAGATAACATCACTATCCTGAGACAAGCCAAACACACGTGTCAATTTCTATATTTGACCTTGGCTTGCAGCTCATGGAAGCAAATTGAGTATTATCACAAATCAAGTAAACACTTGAAATAATGTTTAAAGAAAGAGAAGGACAATATTGAAGAAGATGAAAACCTGACGGAGGCCACTGCCGAGCTTGATTGTCTGGTTAGTCATGTTTGACAAATTAAGAACAACATCACCTGGTACCTGAAAAGTGAAAGCCCATGGGAGATGTTTCATTGTAACCAAATCGAACCGAGACTCTAAAGAAGCGCTTTTTGTATTGTATTGAGAGTTATGGGAAAATAGAAATACGGACGACAATCTGATCAATGAGGCTTGTGGTTGTGGGCGACACTGAAACTTTGGAATCCATCTCCTCTCGTTCGCTATACTTAATTCAGTGTCCTCAAAGCCAAAAAGGAGCTAAATTGGTGAGCTCTGATACAGAGGAAGTTGGGTTTTTGGTTGGATTGGAGCTAAAACCCTATTCAGTGTAGAGCCTTGTTGAAGACGACGATCGCTCTTACTTTGTTTTTTTTTCGGACAAACCTGGTCCGATTCTAATCAAACCAAACCGAAATCTAAATCAATCGTAGGAGTTTGTTTTTCTTAAACCGGAAACCAGGAAAACCGCAATGGATGGATATTACCTCGTGTGTGTAACACTAATGAGTTTATGGAACTTGTATGTATTTAAAGATGTTGTTGTTACACACTTGCATACTCTATAGTTCCAATTTTTGTTTTATGACTCGCAGTTGCTGAATATTCGCAAAAACTGAGTTCAAACACAAGAAAAGAGTACATATACGCAAATTGATAATAATGCAATACAATTTATACAACAAACATAGGCAATACACAATGTTGTTTTTCCTTATGTACTCGTCAAAACAAGTGCTCAGGTGTATATATATATATATATATATATATATATATATATCACTCGTTAATTTGCTTCTCCAAGAGACTAACCGTTTTGTATTAGAAAGCGACCAGTCCTTTGATAAAAGAAAACGGAAAAAATGGGTAGTTTCTCTATTCTCAGGTCAAAGACAGACCCAATTATTATACCTATCTGTTCACTGTTTCTGTTGACGCCTCCTCTTTCTCATCATCACCATTTTCCTCATTCACATCTTCGGTGGTCTTTACTTCTTTCTGGAGAGCACGCAGCATTGCAGAGTTCACCTGTTTTCTAAGCTTCGCGTTCTCAACAAAGATATCTGCCAATACCTTCCTCAACTCGTCCTCCATGCTCCTTGTTTCACTATCCACGCTGAGAGATTTATCGACCGCATTTTCATCAAACCCGGCAAGCAGCTGAGCCTGAAAATGTTGACTTTTATTATAGGAAACCTCTGCAACTTTGTTGATTTTAAAAGGGTATAAAGCAGATCGTACCTCCTCAATTTGATCGTCAGATACAGACAGCAAACGCAAAGCGTCTGATACTGTAGCTGAGTCCTCTACAAGGTTACCGTTTCCGTCCATTGACAAATTCAAGTTGTACTCTTTAAGTCGGTCGTGGAGAATTCTGCAATCACTAAGCAACTTTTTCCTAGCCGCTACTGTGTTCTCAACTAGTTTTCTTTCCTGTTGGAGTAGTTTCTGAAAAGTTCAACATGTTCCAGTCTCAGTTGTGTTCACAAACCCCATTGTGCTGCCAAATAAGAAAACATATATATGATACTATCCGAGCTAGAAAATTACCTCTGCTTCAGTTTTATCTGTCAAAGATTGAGTCAGCTCCTTTTCTAGTTCCACATGTGAACGCCTCAGAGATTTGACCTCTTTGACAAGAATTTTAACATCTGCTTTTGATTTTGCCTCTAATTCTTCGTATCGCCTGGAGAGATCCTCCAGTTGTTGTTTCCTGGCATCCAATTCTTTTGACATTACATGTCTCTCCGAAATAGTTGACTGTTCAGTGGCTTCTGCATGTGAGCTCCCATCCTGCTGTAGTGAATAGTGGTTTGTATCAGCGTACTTCTCTAGTAGAGAGAAATTATGCATGATCTATGCAAACCAGTTTGGTTGCGAAAAATAATTTTATAGACATGGAACTATTTCAAATCTTACCTCTCTAGATTTTAATTTCATTTCCATTTCGTATGACTTTTGTCTAAGTTCTTCCATGTCCCACTGCATCTGAGTTATCCTTTCCCTCTCGGTCATAATAGCTTGCTCCAAATTCTCTTTGCTTCTCTGCTTAGTAGTTTCAAGTTCCCCTTCTAGGTCATTAACCTGAGCAATAAAAACAAGATTAACACACTACCATTCGGTCCAAAGAAAAAAAGGATAAGACACGGATGTATAGAACCAAAAAGATGGAATTCATGGTTACTTTTCTTATTGTACCTTTCTGTTCAGGTATTCTTTCACCGCTATCTCTTGATTTAGCCTTGCTATAAGGTCCTCCATATCTGTTTTTGCATTGACAAGTCTCTCATTCGTGGCTAACAGAATCCGGCTCAGTTTATTGCGCAGGTCCAGTGGAAGAACTATCTGTGCACTACCCTGCCTATCCGGGTTACAAACAATCCCAGCTCCAAGCGATACACCAGGACCTTGGCGTAGATCCAGGTGGCTATCACTGCTTGAACTTAGGAGACCAGATGTCGATGTCTCACCGGTGTGTAGAGAAAACCCGTCAGCACTCTCCATAGAAAACTTTCTATCATGCATTACCGAGTGAGTTGATGACTCTGGTTCAGAGAAAAGTCGTGAGCCGTTGTTAGCAAGAAATACACCTTTAGAAGCATTTCCATTATTGACATATCTTGAGCGGACTTTATGTTTGGGAAAATCTTCAAGCTGCTCTAGAATAGTTTGGCTCATTGAAAGTCCCTCGTCAATGTTGGACATGCTAAAGTTAACAAGCTTCTCTATTGGATTTGTCACTTCTTCATCCAGAGTTAGATCTTCGGTACCGATTTCAGAAATATCATCCTGTCCTACACTTGGAGATCCAAGCTCAGATGTTTCATAAGCAGTATCACTGCCATAGTCAGATGTGAGAGAAGAACTGCCGCCAGCTTGAAACAAGCTCAAACTTGGGTGCAACATAGGTGACGAACTTGTGCTATTTCTATCATTATCGGCATCAGAAGTATTCTGATCAACATCTTGGCATGCTGAAAAAGCAAGTTCGTGTTAGACACTAATGACACATAACAACATCATCTACCAATGCACGGCTTAAGTGTATAAAGTAATTAGCTCATACCAGACCTAGCAGCAGCTTCTAGTTCAAGAAAGGATGCAACTACCACACTTCTTGCCAGATCTATATCAGATAATAGCTTCGTTATCCACTCCTCAAGAGAGCACCTTCTCTGCAACAAGGTAACAGCTATCACTTGCGAAACAGATATTTGCATAAACAATCGTAACAACATTGTTGAGTACATGGCTTTCCGTACATCTAACATCTGCATTATTCTTACTTAATCTTAATTCGGCGAGGATTGGAAGAAGGGGGTTGAGGGAAGGGGAAAAAATAGCACAAAACAGAAAGGAATTTGAGAGTAACAGCAGTTACATAAGTGGCCTAATTCAGCTAGCCCCTGAAATATTAAAATACATACCTCTTCTAACACTGCTCTGCTTTTCATACGCAACATCCCTTTGGGTGGAGCTGATGGAAAAATTTTTTTGGGAAATGCTCTTTTAAGCTGAAAGGGAAACACGAACGTGGCGTCAAACACATGACAATAATATCACTGAGAAGTGAAAATTGGAGAGCAAGATAGGGGAAAATTCTCAGTGAGAACAAATTCTTACATCCGTTAATAGCTTTAAGAAATCATTAAATCTTCTCAACACTCCTCGCATTGTGGTAACACCTTCAGGGGATTGCACACTAATCTGGACCCTGTAAAACTGTTCCTCTACAATGTTAAGTATGTAAGTTCAACTAAATATGACATGCACAACAATAAAACTTGTTCGCAATGTTAGGCAGAAAAGGAAACAAATATAACATTTGTCATGCTGATGTTTATTGATCCACAGACGTTCCAAAGATATGGTCTACAATACTAGTTCAGCAAAATTTGCTACGAGAAGATAAACAGTGGAGATTCAGATATTGAAATTTACCACTACAGGATCTGAATTTCTTGATTTTGGAAGAACAACCCACGAAGGTAATGTAACACAATAACTCCATCCGGTTCGAGGGTCATGAGGCCAAACAGTATCTCTACCATTCTGCACAAAAACACATAAAAATTCTTAACGCCTTGAAGTCTCCAACTTAACATATATGGAATTCAATTGAGCAAAATGATAATTCTCAGTCAAGCAGCTATTCAAAGAGCATAAACAAAGATTCAGCTAACTAATAATTCAGTTGATAGCATTTCTTGCAGGAGGTGAAAAAGCAACAGAATTCACCAATTGCACGAAGTAGCTTTAGCTAACTGTCTAGGCAATGTAAGGAACTCACCCATTTGCGCGGCGGAGGGCTCCAATCCATCCCCAGTGGAAGCGGCGACGTTCCGTCGTGCCTGTGCTTCGGCGGACTCCGTCTCTGCATCATCTCCACCAAGCTCTACCTACCTCCCGAATCCGAAATTCCGATCAGAACCAATCGGAGACGCGATCGAGAACTGGTTACCCGATCGAGAATTCACAAATTACGCAACTTCAAACAGAAATGAGAAATCTGAGCGGAAGATCGAACTATAGGGTTTATGAAGATCGTCAGATCGAGGTGGAATTGAGGGAGGAGAGAGAGAGGACGCAGAAGGAGGCAAAAGAAGGACCAGATGGCGTCTCTCGGGGTCTTCTCTTGCTCTCGTTGAATTCTACGGACCACGGCGATTAACGGCGGTGTCGTCTACTTTAACGGAAAAGCCCAAGAGGACGACACGTGATTAGACGGAGGCGCGAAGCCTCCCGTTACCGTGTATATATATGTGTATATTATGTACCTACCTTCTTCCCGTGAGATTCGGTTCTCGTGAACCACGTTTTGGTTTAGTTCATCTCTGCTCCTATTGTAAAATTTGCAAGGCTGTGTTTGGTTGGGCTTAATTCAAGGCTGTGTTTCATTTTCAGTTTTCGTTCACAAGGACCCAAACTGAATTTTCAGTTTAAGATTATCCATTTCATATTCAAAAGTCAAAACCCAACACAGTTTAAAAATTGGCTTTTTATCAGTTCCGTCATTCAAAAATTAATTTGGACAAGTTCGTGAACAATATAATTATTTGGTAATTTCTTTAAAATGAAACAAATCATTTTTTTATGGTTTGCACTCTGTTTTTGTCTCAAAATCATTGGGGATGGGAATGATTATGTTTTTAAAAAGAAATAAATGATTTTTTTTTAAAACGTTACATTTTTGAGTTTTTACTTTCGAAAACCAGAACTAATATATATTGTAAGAATTGTTCTGTATTTTATGTTGGCCCGAAACTGTTTTTTATAACATTTGGAAGAGGTAATTTTATAAAATTATAGTACAATCTGTATCTAATCCGAAATTGAATATTTTATAATCTGTCAGAAAAGGTCTCCACCCTCCAGCTAACCTTCCAAGAGGAAAGAGGAGAGAGAGAGATTCAATTCAATAATAATATGCAGAAAGGCTAAAAGCTATTGGTTGTCTCTCTGATTTGATCTGGCGATTCCTCTGGCTGGCTCGGTTTCCGCGGGAAACCATTCTTCGTTGACCTTCTGAGATCGTCGAAATTCGGCAGGTGATCGGCGGAGGAAATGGCGATCCTGTACGCACTCGCGGCGCGCGGCACGGTGGTGCTCGCGGAGTTCAGCTCGACGACGACCAACGCCAGCGCGATCGCCAAGCAGATCCTTGAGAAGGTCCCTGGGAACAACGACAGCAACGTCTCCTACTCCCAGGATCGCTACGTCTTCCACGTCAAGCGTACCGATGGCCTCACCGTTCTCTGTATGGCCGAAGAAAACGCCGGACGTACGTCCCCTTTCTCATTTCCCTTATTCTCTCCTTTTCCTCTCTATTGCCTGAATCTTGAGCTAATTCTTAGGAAGTTTCGATCTTTGGTAACATCTGATTAAAAAGTTATAATCTTTGGGAGCATTCGATGAAATCATCATTCTGATATTGCTCTGTTTTGTGAATTGCTCAGGGAGGATTCCTTTTGCGTTTCTGGAGGATATTCACCAGAGGTTCGTACGGACTTACGGCAGAGCAGTCCACACAGCATTAGCTTATGCAATGAACGACGAGTTCTCAAGAGTTCTCAGCCAGCAGATTGAGTATTACTCCAACGATCCTAATGCCGACAGGATTAACCGGATTCAGGGTGAATTGAGTCAGGTCTGGTTATCTCTTTAACATCTGATTATGGTGGGGATTGTAAAAAGAGATGTTTCTGAGTTCTGACATAACATCTTCTTGGTCTTTCTTGGAGATAGGTACGGGATGTTATGATAGATAACATTGACAAAGTTCTGGATCGAGGTGAAAGACTTGAGCTTCTTGTCGACAAGACCGCGACTATGCAGGGAAATACATTCCGTTTCAGAAAGCAAGCTCGGCGTTTCAGAAGCACCGTCTGGTGGAGAAATTGCAAGCTCACGTATGCTTTTCTTAAACCATAATGAAAAGAAAAAAACTTTTAACTTGTTTTGGAGAGGTCATATATAAAACTGTGTTTTTTGGTCTTGTAGGTTTCTCTTAATACTACTATTACTGGTGATAATATACATCGGAGTGGCTTTTCTCTGCCACGGACCTACTCTACCTTCTTGCATTTAAGTTAAGTGCATTTGTCTCTTGAAGAAACCTCGGCTCTGTATTTGCCGCGGTTAAACTTTTTTTATCTGTCTCGTCTGATTTCAGAAAACATTCTGTTTCCTCGAGCTTTTTCGTGTTTTTAAAAAGCTTGTGTGTTTCAACTCACATGTATGAATGAGTATGAAGTATTGTTATTTATAGAGCAATGTGAAACTCACTGCTTTGCAAGCTGCGTGGATTCGTGTTGTCGTCGTATTCTATAATTATATATACATAGTGAGAACTGAACAGACTTGTTTTGTGTCTGATTTGTTCATACAAGCTTTGGAATCATTGTCTTCTTTTGTGTATGTGACTTCCTCTGGTATTTCCAGACCAACTTATAAAATCTTTACAAGGGAATTGTTCATCGTTATAAATTTTCATAGGTCCAAACTAAATCAAATGGGCAGGCCATAAAAGCCTTTATTGATGAAAACTTTTGATCGACGGAGCATAACAAGTCGCGCGACTCAAAAGTTAAAAGTGCAAGTATACATATAAATCACTTTGGAAAAAAAATATGTAAAAGGCTAAAAGCTTCGATTCGGTGACCCTATAAATTATTTTAATTTCTCTTCTCAAAAAAATTCCAAAATAGGTTCATAATTTTGATTTTCGAAGAAAAAGTTGAAGCCATGAGTTGATAATAATTTGGGTTCCATACTTCCAGCACAACTTAGTCTACTATATGAAAGCTAGATAACACTCTTCGGAAGCTGCCACATAAACATAGCATAATATATATGACATGTGACAGTGATGAAATTAATTATAATATTTTGATACATTTGTATTATCGTGATGCTCGTCTTCCATGTGTGTTTTTTTATTGTCATTTGCGGCTTCTTCAGTTCTCTTTTCACCATCAAACTGAATTTGGTTTGTTTATCGTTTCCCTCTACTTTTTATGAGTTTGCGAAAATGATGTCTAAAAATATTATTTGCAGTTTTTTTTTCATGCGCTAATAATATTTGTTTTGCTTTTTTTTTGTTTTTATTAAGTTTACAGGTCGGAGTCACATAGTAGCAAAGAGAGCGGAGAGTGTTAGAGGGAAACCCATGACTTGTTATTTTTATGATTTATAATTTATGATGAGTTAATCATAATTTTTGATATTTAGCTGAATCAAATCATATTCACTATTTTACTTGGTTTGTGTTTATTTTACTTGGTTTGTGTTTGTTTTAAAATTTAGATAATGCCAGAATTAGATTATCTAAAAATTGAAGTAAAACATTTACCACACAATTTTTTTATAATTATTGCACAATGTTTAACTTTAGTACTGTAAAAAACCATATTTCACTTTAAAAAAAAAAATGAAGTATCTCATAGTTTTTCTATTAGCTAATGATGTGTTTTGTAGGTTGAATGAAGCTTGTCCACCAAGTCGTGTGGTCATTCAAAATCAACTTGGTCCTAATATTCCTCTTCAATATCATTGTCGTGGTAGGAACGGGAAAAAAGGACTTGATACGGGAGTCAAAACTTTAACCTTTAATGCTAATTTTACCACTGTCTTCGTCGATGAATCTACTAAAACCTCAAACTCAACAATTAAATGTAATTTAGCCTATGGCGGCCCTAATAAGTATTCTTTTGATGGACTTGAAGTGTACGAAGGAGGCATTGGGTATTCTTGCAATTGGAATAATCGTTTATTTGCTGCTAAAACTGATGGGATATACCTTGCAAGAGGCGATATAAAAACGATGACATTTATACTTCCTTGACGTAAGAGATAAACGTTTTTATTTTCTAAAATGTTGGTTGTTTGTTTACGTATAATAAACTAATCTATTAATATATACTAATAATATGTTATAATATATAAAAATGTAAAAGTAAAATCTGATGTTACTTAATATTAGTATATATTGTTTCAGATGTTTTAAATAATAACAAATATAAATCTGATTCTGAGTAGCATTCTTGCAAAAATTGTTAGTTTATTAATGTAAAATCATGTTTTTAAGTGGCAAGAATCCCGTGAAAAAAATGGTAAGATTTATCTATAACGAAATCACCACGGTTCGAAGGAAATGCAATTTTTTTTACTAATTCTAAGATATGTAATTTCTCTCGATACATAAAAGGGTACATCCACCTCTCACTTTTGGTTCTGAAAATGTTTGGTATCTTTCTACAATCATTCTCATTTTTAATTTAAGCTATAGACTATCATACGTAGAGTATACGATTTAAAATCAACGCAAAAACAGAGACCCTAAATTCTACCATCCGATCAAGTTAATAGAAATGATTGAACAAAACAAAAACAAAAAAAGTTAATTAATCATCTACCATCCCAAAATTGAAGTAATCACTAATAAATAATTTTCTTAAAACGTAACTCTTTTTTTATTTGGGTCTTAAACTTATTGGAGTAGTGCAATAAAAAAGTAAAATTAGATGTTTTATTTTTATTTCCCTTGTCTAACGCTTTCCTCTACGTCGCCTTCCTTCCCTCGCGGTTACTCTTCCGTTTATTTTCTTCTCTTCTCAGCTGGTCAATTTTTTTTCTCGTCTCTTCTCTCTTCTCTCTACTCCACCGTCTTCCTCGATTCACGCCCTCGGGCTGATCTCTCATTCAATCTTATTCCCTTAGCGAAAAAGGATCAATCTTTCAAGTCAAAATTTACAGGCGCAGATCTCTGCGTATTGATCCACTCACCCACCTGGGTCCTTCCATTTCTGGGTTTAATCAAATTTAGAGTTTTTATCTGATGGGTTGGCGATACAAAGCTGGTCTGTTCTTGATTGGTACCGTTGTTGTCATTTGGGTCACCTCTGCAGAAGTTACTCAGGTACTTCTTCGTTTGGCTTTTGATTCGATCCACGTTCCTCTTTCTTCTTTTGTTTTCAATTTTGGTCAATATCCGGATCCAATTCCGAATTTTTTGTTGCTACATTAGAATAGAGTCAGATCTCTGTTGAAATGGGTCAAATGTTAATAATTTTGACTTTCCGTTTGACCAGGATATCTTCACAGCCTACAAGCAGCCATTTGCAGTCACATATCTCGGAGCTTCTCTTATGATAATCTACCTTCCCGTAGCGTTCCTCAAAGACTGGATTTGCCGATATTTGGAGCAGCGACGATCTCTAACAAGCCTTAAAGTTTCCGCATTGGGCAATGAGTCCTCCTCGGCTGAGATCAACTCTCCGCTTAGACACAAGATCATTGAGATGGGACTTCAGGGGACCATCACTAAGAAAGACAGCGAGGAGGACTTTTCTTCACACGGAGAAGATGCGAGACCGTTGATCGGTAAAGGGAAAGAGGAAACACAGGCTCTGAAACATGGGAGAGAGGTCAGTACGAAGCAGATTGCAATGTATGGGCTTTACCTGGCACCGATTTGGTTTGTAACAGAGGTGTGTTTTCCTTCTATTTTGCAAATATAGTTTTTTTTCATGTGTCCTCTATTAGTAATGGTATTTGTGTTTTGCTACAGTATTTGTCCAATGCTGCTCTTGCGCGTACAAGCGTGGCAAGCACTACCGTGTTGTCTTCAACCTCAGGACTGTTTACTCTCTTCATTGGTGCGTTTTTGGGCCAAGATACGTTGAATTTGTCCAAAGTGGTTGCTGTGTTTGTGAGCATGGCCGGTGTGGTGATGACAACGCTTGGCAAAACTTGGGCTGCTGACGAGTCGCAGTTGAATTCTTCACTGTAAGTCTTGTGTGTATTGGAACGGTCTCATTCTCATAGAATTCTTGATTACATTTTTCCAAGTTTTCATCAACCATATTTTTGTAACATACAGTTGATATTTGTGTTTAGCAACGGGCAACGGTCCCTTACGGGAGATCTCTTTGGGCTTCTCTCTGCAGTCTCTTACGGACTATTTACAGGTTAGAAATGGTTTTTTAAAGAAATATTTGTGTGTTGGGGAGGATAACCTTGTGACCTGTTGTGTTATGGACATGACAGTGCTTCTAAAGAAGTTTGCCGGTGAAGAAGGAGAAGGAGTTGATGTGCAGAAGCTGTTTGGATACATAGGATTGTTCACTCTTGTTGCTCTCTGGTGGCTTGGTAAGTGATATCTTCAGTAGTATTCAATTTTTCCAAGTGTGAGTCTCTTTCATTCAACGGTTTGTGTTTTTTTCAGTGTGGCCATTGACAGCATTAGGGATCGAACCAAAGTTTACCATACCGCACTCTGCCAAAGTTGATGAAGTCGTTTTGGCCAACGGTTTCGTTGGAAGTGTCCTCTCTGACTATTTTTGGTATGTTTCAATGGTTCTATGTGTCAGCTTTTAGCTGATAAAGTGTTAAATTGTTTGGCTTGTGTAAATGTTTAGAGAATGACTTAGCTTTCTTTTTTGGTAATTATGCAACGAAAAGGGCACTTTCTGTGGTGTGGACGACTCCGCTAGTAGCGACACTGGGCATGTCTCTGACGATTCCACTTGCGATGGTTGCTGACATGATGATCCATGGTCGTCACTATTCCGCCATTTACATTCTTGGCTCTACTCAGGTAAACTCAAAACTCACACCAGAGAGCATGAAGGATTTGTTGGTGCTCAAGAATTTTGCGGTTGGTTATTCTTTCAGGTGTTTGCGGGATTCGTAATAGCTAACATATCGGACTTGTTCACAAAGAAGCTTGGTTTGTAACATAAGAGTGGCCGTCAAGCTAGGTCGATGATTCTTTTGTGGTGTTTCTGTGGGTAGAAATTGTATCCTAGATTCATGGTTGTTGATTGTTGATTGTTTATGAAATGAAAAGTTTATAGGGTTTTCTTCTCTGTTAATTGAATGAAAAAGGAAAGAATGTGATTAGTACCATTGTTTTTATGTTGGCACTTTCAAACAAAGCAGGCCTGAGAAGACACCGTTTCTGCTATTTCTGGCGACAACAGCTTGTGTCGCAACGTCTCCGATATCAATGTCGGAATCATGCTTTCCACAATCTTGTCTTCCAAGTAACTTGTTTTGGTCGTGTTCCCATCAGTAAAATACTAAAATTTGTTTCTAACTTAAAAATCGATGCATCTTTTTTTGTTCACAATTTAAGTTAAAACTCGAAATTTAAAATTTACAGACAAAGTCCTTTCTCTAATTGAAATTCAGAAAGGACCCAACCAAATATCTGATTTCACGATAAATTCAGTGAGGACCTTCTGACTGATTCAGAAGGTTCAGTTCTCATTATTCTGCTTCTCTTCTTCTCCTGAATCGAGCGATTATAATAAAAACTCGTCGTTTGTTTGGCTTTCGACAATCTCTGCGGACGACGACCATGGCTCCGATTCTCAGATCCACTTCCTTTCTCACTTTGCTCGTCTGCCTCTTCTTCTTTGCTTCCACTCTCCCGATCTCATCTGGGTAATCAAAATCGATTATCCTCGATCTCTACAATTCCTCTTGGTTTAACTTATCTTCGAGTCATGTTGTGCATCGTTGATTTCACTTTGATGTACTTGCTTGTAGCATTTAGTACTCTAGTTTATAAATCCAATGCTGATAATCAATTTTACCTGTTCGAGCTTCTTTGAATTCAACTCTTCAATTCATCCTTTCTGATATTTTTGTTTTGTTTTTGATTTGCAGGTCTGAGGATAGTTACACCATCACCGGTAGAGTAAGAGTCCCTGCAAGTAGGTTTCATCCTTTTTAACCTTTCCTTTCTTTGACTCAGTTTAGGATTGACTCAATTTGCTAATCTCAAACGTATTGAATCTGTGATTGTCAAATACCTGTTATGTAGCTCACTGTGGTAATAGCCTCACCATCTTTTGTATGCAAAACTAATGTACAAGTTTGTTTTCACAGGCGCCGCAATTGGCCACGCAGCAAAATTCTCAAACATCAAAGTTGTGCTCAATGGTGGACAGCATATTACTTTCCTCAGGCCTGATGGATACTTTACATTGTAATCCTATTCTTCCTCTTGCTTACACATCTTTTTTCATGTAAATATTGCTTCAACTGAATCTTCGTTTTGTCTAATTTGAAAGCCACAAAGTGCCAGCTGGGACTCATCTGATTGAAGTGTATGCGCTCGGCTACTTCTTCTCTCCAGTAATTCTTTTTTCACTTTCACTTGCTAATATTCAATGATTTCCGAAACTAAAGCTGTTTTAAGAACTTGCTTCTCAATTGTCAATCGATTAGGTGCGAGTTGATGTTAGCGCTAGGCATCGTGGCAAGGTCCAAGCAACGCTAACGGAAACCAGGAGGAGTCTTACTGAGCTGGTCTTGGAGCCAATTCGGGCAGACATATACTATGAGGTGAATACTTCAACCTGTATCTTTCTTCCTTTAGTTTTAGCTTATACGCTTCTTCCCTCTTGTTTTTTTCTTCTGATAAGATGATGTATACTCTTTGCAGAGGCGAGAACCTTTCTCTGTAATGTCAATCGTGAAGAGTCCAATGGGTCTTATGGTGGGATTCATGGTCGTGGTTGTCTTCTTGATGCCTAAGTTGATGGAAAACATTGGTACGCTTCTCTAGTTCTCTAAACCATCCATAACCCTTGTATTGATATAATGTATGCTCTCTCTAATTGTTTGTTGGTATGTGTGGTGTATAAACAGATCCAGAGGAAATGAAGAGAACACAAGAGGAGCTGAGAAGCCAAGGAGTGCCGTCACTCTCCAGCTTGTTGCCCTCTAGCCGCTAAGTGTTCCAACACACTTCCTAACTAGCTTGTCATTTGTGCAAGCAAAGACTCTGAACTCTGAAGCTGACCTTACGTTGTGCTTTTTGTCTTCTTTCTTGTTTAATGTTATGCTACTCTTTTATTTTTGCCAATATGTTTATTTGGCAATTACATGTTCAGTGTCTTGAAGGAAATACTCAAATTCGATTAGTCACATCACAAGGATTGATACAGAGACTTACCGTATGGATTTAAGTATTTAACACATAAACTATGATTTAAGAGTCGTCGATAATATTACATTATAGAGTTGTTGCTTCTACTTAAAGTAACAAAACTTATAATTATAGTTGAAGTAACAGAAACTAGCAAAATTAAAAGAAAAACAAAAATTATGAGATTTTGAGCGCATCTTAACCTCTGATTGGATCAGAGTGTTTCGAAACTATTTTCTGGTCACCTGAAATCGGCAAGAGTCTGAATAAACCGATCTCCGACGACGACAAAGAAACGGCTCCGAGGAAGAAATATAATTCGAAAAAGGAAACATATTCAATAGCTTCATCATCTGTTACTTCTTCAACTTTTATTTGCTTCAATTTGTCGAGTTTGAATCTGAATTCGACTCTATTGCCTCCGATCTCTCTCTCTCTCTTTCTCGCCGTGGATAGAGATGGAGAGCTTACCAACGACGGTCTCGGCGAAATCAGAACGGCGAGGTAGGTCTTCCAAGTCTCAGAATACCTCAAAGCCCTCTCTCATCATGGCCTTCTTCTCTTGTCTAGCTTGGCTCTACGTCGCTGGCCGGTACATTGCCTTTTTTTACTCTTCTTCCGATTGATCATTCAAATCTCAATGCTTCTAGATTTGTTCTTCGAAATGCATACGAGAATCGAAAATGTTAGATCTCTTGAGGGTTGTGATCGTGTTGGAACACTGTTTTCGATTCATAGTTTGTCGATAGATCTCGCAAATGCTAAGATACTTTCGTTTTTTCTCCATTTGTAAAATTTTAGATTTAACTGTATTGCAATGTGAATTGAATTCTATCATGGTGTTGCTTTCTTATGGTTACTGGTTAGATTATGGCAAGATGCGCAGCACAGAGCAGCACTCAACACTTTGCTGAAGAGTAATTTTGATCAGGTTGGTGTTTCTTGTGCCTTCTCTTGAAAGATTTAAGTTTCATTATCAGTAATCAAATGTTCTGTCTTCAATGTTCATGTGGAGATTAGAGACCTAAGGTTCTTACGGTGGATGACAAGCTGGCGGTTCTTGGATGCAAGTAAGCTGATTTTTTTTTTGTTTGGTTCTGATATGTAAGGTGTTTTTGTTGTTGTTCTGCTTGTACTAACTCAGAATGTAACTGTATAATAGAGATCTTGAGAGGAGAATTGTTGAAACTGAAATGGAGTTGGCGCAGGCAAAGAGTCAAGGCTATCTTAAGAACCAGAAAAGTGTTTCATCTTCAGGGAAGAAGATGCTTGCTGTAATTGGAGTTTACACAGGCTTTGGGAGTCACTTGAAGCGCAATAAATTTAGAGGGTCTTGGATGCCACGAGGTAGAATTATGGCCGTCTTTGTTTGGTCATCTAACAACAATGATTTATTAAATAATGTTTCTCTTATGAAATTTTCTTTCTCTTTAGATGATGCTTTGAAAAAACTTGAGGAAAGAGGAGTTGTCATACGCTTTGTGATTGGTCGGAGGTTTTCCTACTCACTTTAGTCTTCATTTCCTTGGTTCTCACGCTTTGCTTCGTCATATGAGTGGTAAACTAGTGTTGATGATTTATAAATTTCCAGTGCTAACAGAGGTGATAGCTTAGATCGCAAAATTGACGAAGAAAACCGTGCAGCTAAAGATTTTCTGATTCTTGTAAGTAAGAATAACTCTTTTGCCTCTTTTCGTTGCCTTCTTATTTGAATTTCTTCTCACTGATGTGGCTTCCAATCTACTTTTCACAGGAGAATCACGAGGAAGCCCAAGAAGAGTTACCAAAGAAAGTGAAGTACTTCTACAGTGCTGCTGTTCAGAACTGGGATGCAGAGTTTTATGTCAAAGTTGATGACAACGTTGACCTAGACCTTGGTAATGCTTCCTCTTTCATGTCTTTTTTTCTTGCAAAGCTATGTTTGGTCCAATCAGGATATCAAAAATGTTTTCGATGTAACAGAGGGGTTGATCGGGCTTCTTGAAAGCCGCCGTGGTCAAGATGGTGCTTACATTGGGTGCATGAAGTCAGGAGATGTGATTACTGAAGAGTTCGTATACTCTCAACTTTCTTCAGTTCACACAATAATTGAGCATTACGATCTGTGATAATTTGCCATCAAACGTTTCTCATTTTCATATTCCATGGGTTTGTTTCTTGGTGTTCAGGGTAAGTCAGTGGTACGAGCCTGAGTGGTGGAAATTTGGGGACGACAAATCGTAAGTCCTCTGGTTACGTTTGTGCTGAAATTGAAATATGCTGTCTGTAGTCAGTCTCTCTGTTCGTCTCATTTAGGTACTTCCGTCATGCAACTGGTTCGCTTGTAATACTCTCCAAGAATCTGGCTCAGTATATCAATATAAACAGGTTCGGTTTCCACAAGATTTAGTCACCTGAAGAGTATATAAGTCAAACAAAGCTCGCTTCACATTCATTGCTTATTATTATCTTCACCGGTGTTTATATATAAATGCAGTGGAATGTTGAAGACGTATGCGTTTGATGATACCACAATCGGATCTTGGATGATTGGTGTCCAGGCAACATATATAGACGACAATCGCCTTTGCTGCAGCGGCACTAGACAAGGTGTGAATACTTCTCTCTCTCTCTCTCTCTCTCTCTCTCTCTCTCTCTCTCTCTCTCTCTCTCTCTCTCACACACACACACACACACACACAAAAACTGTTCTCATGGTTATCTGAAAAAAATGCTTAGGCTTCACGATAACCATGTAAATCTGTTCATTTCGCAGAAAAAGTGTGCTCCATGGCGTGATATCAATGCGTACCTGATCCTCTTGTCATCTCCGAGTAAAGACAGCGGCTTCTCATCGCATCCATGGCGGTTTATTGTAATTTTTGTTTTTGTTAGAATGAAAGTATGATTAGGCTATTCATTAGGGAATATCCCTTGAGCTTTGGAATGAGAAAATGGGGAAATGGTCTAGCTGTGAATGAAGTAAATACTTTTTTCCTTTATTCATCATTCGTTCGTCTATTACATAATTTTCTTAGCCCAAATCTCTTGCAAATATATCATAATAATATATAACCTTGATTTGGAAGATAGGCAGTGTAATGTAACAAATTTTCAATAGTTTATCCATCATACGGTTAAGACCGCAAGTGAGAGTGACGATGACTTGTCCCTTTGAAGTCTGACGTCATAAAGCTGCCATGTGGTGGCTTCAAATCGACCACAATCCTCGATAGCTCCTAGATTAGAAAATCCGAGTGTAATTTTAACTAGAGGCTACCCCGCGCTACGCGCGGGACTATGTGTTTTAATTTTTTTTTTTTTTTTTTTGTAAAAATATCTAATATATAATAAATATATTAATAATCATTTCTTACTTTTAGTTTCAGATTCCAATATCATTAGTAAAACGTATGATTCAACATAAGTACAAATGTTTAAATATTTTGACATTTTCAAAACGGTATTTTAGTTTCCATAAATAAATACTAAATTGTTGATGTGTCAATTCTTGAATATTTTTCATCTTTCTATTTATTTAGTAAATTGATCTATACTCTTTCCCAAATACATTTATTTTCAATATCAGGTATTTTGATTACTATAAGTATTATAGCCAAGTATATTTTTTTAAATATTTTAGAATTGCCAAAACTATTATTTTGAAAGCTCAAGTACTAAATTTTATAAGTAAATATGAATAAAAATGAATGTTCAGAGGCTGTAAAGCAAAAATGAATATTTAGTATTCTTAAAAATTGTTTCTGACAAAATTTAAAGCTAAGTGTTTAGATGAGTAGCTTGCAATCTTCACTTATGTGTTTCTAGTAATCTAAATATTCAATAGTCTTTCTGTCAATGAAACCTCAGACTTCTAATTTATGAAATATCCAAAATGGGGAATGGCATTTCCAAACTACTACCAACAAACTATTTAAAATATCCATGAAATTACATGAGAAGAATACATACGACAAATGCAGAGTCACAGTACAGTAGAAAGAAGTATATGTTTACATGTGCAGGAGGAGGAGACAAAGCTGCGCTACTAAGAAGACGTGAACACATTCTAACCGAGATATCTCTTTCTCCGACTCTTCTCTGGCCGGAAAAATGATAGGTCCGAGATTTATCAGACATCAGTGATCCACACTCTGCATCTTCTTTCCTCATTGCATCATTTCGCGGTGGCAAAGGACACTCTGGTCCAGGCTTTAGAATCATATTTTCCGAGCATTTTCTTGTCTCTTTCAAAACGGCTTGGTTCATAACTGAGTCTGGTGCAACTTAAGAGTTGGAGCAGCTTGAGATTGGTAATACCATAATCTTCATCTCGCAACCCGCTTCGTCTCTCTCTCAAATGACAGAACATCGGGATCCATGATATGATGAGAACTACCACATTTTCTTAAGCCACAAAGCCTCACAAAAAAACAAATATCTTCTGTTATCCTCTTACGTCGTTCTGAGAAAAAATAGATAGTGAAGGGTCATTCATATTTGTTATGAGTGAAAGGACATCGAAACTTTTGCTGATTTCTCACAACTCACTGAACGTCAAGACCAACAAACACCTTATGATTATGCTTGTCAAGAGCAAAGAATAACTCACACAGCTCCCATTAATCCATCTGCATATGAGAAGGCATACGGCGATTTATTATTTTGTCATAAACGTGATCATAAAAGAGGCATTATAAATATTTGTTTTACATACTAAATAAGTCACCATGAGTCTACACCGGGTATCCTTAAGCCATATATGCTATCATGGCTGTGATGTAAAACATCATCGGAAAGTTGAAGAAAGTTTGAGGTTTAGAGTTG